TGTGGAGGATATTGTGACAACTGGACAGATCACTGGTAGAAGAGGCAGAGGTAGACCAAGAGAATCAGTGGATGGCTTAAGACAGTGGCGTGGAGGAATATCATCATTGAACCAGAACACCAAAGACCGAGATCTGTGGAGAGGCATGAACACCTACGCCAGCTGGCAGGGCACTTGATGGTGATGATAGCACAATATTGTTACTTTTTTATTAATAAGCGCACATTACATGGTTATTTAAAATGATGGATAAACTTCCATTCATGTATATTTCCTTGAATATATATATATATATATATATATATATATATATATATATATATATATATATATATATATATATATATATATATAAAAACATATTTTAAAAATACATAAAGGAGAGAGAGGGAAAGGTCTGAAGCTTTGAATACTAACACGAGAGCGCAGCTGCCGACCTGCAAAACCCTATCACAGCTGCAGTGAGCTTAGTTCCGCAAAAGATGCTTCTTCATGTGTGGAATTGTTTGTTTTAGTATCCAGAAGCCATGGGTTGTTAACCCTTAGGCTTGGTATTATGGATATCGCAACCCTTCGGCCTTGATTCCATGGTAAATACCGTAAATCTGGGAGAAAATGTGGCTTTTCTGCCTACCGCCGGGAGTGAACCCGGACCACAAGGAGTTCGTCACCGGGTCACACGCGCAATCCGTTTTAGCCAACTACGCTAGAGAGCCGGGCGCATGAGTGTAATAAATTAAGCTACAGCTTAGTTTGACGAGGGCAGACAGTGGCCATATTGAACATCTATAACTTCTATTATAATATTGTAAACTTTAGAGCTTCCCCTCTCTCTTGTATGTATATTTTTATTATGTAATGTACATTTAAGGAAATATACACAAAGGAAAGTGTATCCATCATTTTAAATAACCCTGTATAATAGCATACACATCTTGAATAACCCTGTATAATAGCATAAAACTGAGTTGAATGTTGAATTAAGAATTGACATCATAGCAGTCAGGATACACACATAAGTACTCCGTCCCATCTTCAGCAGCAAACGAAGAGTTCCAATTCCAATGGCACCTGTAACTGTCTGATTGTATATCCATCTTGCCCTTTCCTTGAGTGTTGAGCGTCAGCCAGATCCCCTGGTCACTCCCTGCAGCGCCGTTCTCCTCGGACCGTAATGATCTAATTGTGCCTCCGCACTGTTCACTCACTCCCAAAGGGGCCTTCACAATGTCTGATTTGCCACACACCAATTCACCACCAAGTGGTGCACAACCGCCCAGTCTATCTGCCTGCTCATTTTCCAACACACCGGCATAACCTGGAGAGAATATCTAAAGGATACTAACTACCCAGGACCTTTGAAGTGATCTTTGCCACTCTGCATGGATCATGCCTGTCCTCACCTTTCTCAACATGCCCTGTGAGTCAGCGACAAAATAAAACTGAGTTGTTACATTATAATGGCTAAATCACCTGTGATACATGTATAAGGCTAGAATACTCACAAAAGTTATCAGGTTACAATTAAAGTAGCCCACTACAATCATGTGAAATAAAACTGTAAGTACATATAGCAAATATGACCACAAAAGAAACAGTGGTTGAGAAAGTGGGGAAAAAAAAGTATGAAATGATGAGATATTTTTTCTCAACAGTAATACTTATATATATATAAATACTTATATATATAAATATATATGTGTGTGTATGTATATATTAGGGCTGTACCGAATAGTGATTTTCACTATTATACGAATACGAATAGTGTGTCATCATCATCAGGTGCCTTGCTGACTGGCGTGGACAATCATGCCTCTCTACAATCTGCTATCTCCTGCAGCATGTATCAGTTCGTGTACTGACACGCCTCCATGCCATGCAACAAGACTGTCAAGAATCTTCTATCGTTGTCATCCTCTATCCCTCCTTCCACAGATCTTTCCAGTGGTTACCAAATATTCTATTTTCCCTCTTCTCATAACATAGCTGAAAAACGAAGACTGTCTCCTTCTGATGTCTGTGATTAGTTGTCTTCGGACTCCCGTCTCTTTCAAAACCATCGTTCGCTCGGCCGTTCGTTCGATGTAATTTAAACGCACCTTCATATTCTCGTTAGCAATATCTTCAAATTTGATTTGGGTGAAGACACCCTAAAAGAACGAAACATGCGTGATCTCTCTCTCTCCTCCCTCTCTCTCTATCTCTCACACACACAGACACACACTCACACACACACACACACACACACTGCGGTTGGCATTTTATGCAGTTTGTGCCACGCAACCGGGTTGCAGTTTTCCCCGCTACGACATAGGCAAGAGCAACAATTGTGTTAATGAGAGAGAAATTTCAGTCCATCACAGTGTATGCAGAAACTGGAGTAAGGTAACCACTATTCGTATTCGGCCCGACCGCAACTATTCGGCCGAATACCGAATAGTTATTAGGTCCACTATTCGGCCCCGAAGCGAATATTCGGTACAGCCCTAGTATATATATATATATATATATATATATATATATATATATATATATATATATATATATATATATATATATATATATATATATATATATATATATATATATATAAAAGATGACAATAGGTTTGGGGAGGATATTGTAGGGCTTTCGCTCCAAAAATGGGTATCAGAAGTCCTTAGAAAGTAAGGGGAATGGTTGGCGTAACGCCGACCCATCAACCCATCAAGTGCCAACTGGCCGATAAAGATATGAGTCTTAAAACTTTTAGAAAACATGATCATAAAATCAGTGCAGTTTTTTTTTTTTTTTTAATTAAAAAAAAAAATATTACAAAAACAGCCCATGATAAATAACAGTATCTTCTTTTTCCTTCGTCGTCCTTGCCAGTAGTTTTTAGATGAGAAAGCTTTAGGCCTCTGTGAAGTCTATGGTGTGATCCATGTCCTCAACTAATCCATACAGTTCCATACAGTTTGGTTTCAAGCAGAATGCCAGACCTGGGATCACTGTATTGCACATAACAGTAGAAATCCACAGAAACAGTACAGTCAATGGATAATAGACAGAAACAGTAGTAACACATATAGTAGCTACGGTTGAAAACTTCTATCTAGTAATCAGTGACAGGATTACATGGAGGTGAAGTGGCTTTGCACTTTTGGTGCCCGACTCTAAATCAAAGAATTGCTACGATTGATGCTTTCGTTACTGGAAATGCTAAGGTGGTTAGCTGATACTGAGTGTTGAAGCAACATGATGCCTCATCTTGTGCCAACACAAACAGTCCAATGTTAGAAATGCAGTTCATCGTTGAACTAAATTTTATAGACTAAACGAGACTCTGAGGGTGATGAGGTTGGCACCACGCCGGCCACCTTTACTTCTCAGGACGTTAGCTGGTTCTCGTTTAAGCTGGGTCGAAATGGGAGCTAATTATGTCACACTAGAACACTAGAAGAAATTAAATGGTACGATTGAATGATGATAGTGGAGCTGTGGGAGAGAACTGAACAAATCAAGAGGCACAAAAAGACTAACATTGCAAAGGACACACATTAAGAAAATCTGAGAACAATATAACTAGAATGTATTTACCCTGGAACCCCCAGGGTTGCAGAAAGTAAGGCAGAGCCCCCCCCCCCCCCCCCCCCAAAAAAAAAAAAAACCAACATACAAAGAAACTAGAAAGTGAAGTTAAAAAAGATTGAAAGGACAAGAGAGAGGTGTGATGCATATGTTAACAGAGGATAGGATGAGATGGCTGAAGGCTCTGTTGGGGTGTATAACGCCATCTGGCACCACCAATAGTTGATGCAGAAGTAAAAGCATTGGTAGAACATGCTGTTTTATATATATAGATGGTTCTGTGATTTGTCAAAAGCAAAGTGCATGAGCTTTCACTGCAAGAACTAAAGGAAAATCTTCAAAGCAGACAGTGGAGCCTTTGCTTCTACCACCAGCAGCATGACATTGGAGGTCATGGCTTGACAAAGGCCCTAGAAAGGCTGAAAACTCAGGAATTCACCAATGCATGTTTGCTCAGCGACTCAATGCGCATGCTACAGAGATTTAGGCAGGGCATATAAGGAAATAGTGGTTCCATTTGATTTAGCACGCAGCGTTTAGGAAAATCAGCTTAGTTTTTTTCCCAGGATATGCTGATGTGAAAGGCAATGAGAGAGCAGATGCCCTAGCTGGCAGTGCTACTATCAGGAACGGACCATCCATGGACAGGGGAGACAATGCTATACGAGAAACTATGTAAATGCCAAGAGGCTTTCAGTTTCGTGGAAAATGATTTTTTCACCAAATAGACTGTGTACCAGTTGGAGCAGCAAGACAGGAAAACCATGCGGGAGCCACACGTTGCTACATCAAATAGAACAGAATGACGGTTGTTAGACTAAAAACACTTGAAGACATGCTCAGGAAGAGATTGCAGCACCTATGGTCATGTAAGATAAGGATGATCTTCACTCTGTGAGTCCCACTGGGTTTAGCATAACAGGCCCAAGGGGTAGTGAAGAGAGACATAAAATCAGTACATCATGCATTAATTTGGCTTCTAGAGAGGAATCTATGAATGTATGATGCGTTTCCTGGGACTCAAAGAGTTTAAATAAACAATGAATAATCAGGTGGAAAAATAAGAAGAAATATCGGTTCTATCCCAAAGTCTCCCCCCAAACAGACAGTCAACTATTTTAGGGGGTGGTAGAAAGGCTGCATACAGTTGTGGGACCTAGGTTACACTCTCTTGTGGGACATAGGTGGGTTGGGGTTAGGCCCAGTTGTAGATGTTTTGGGCTAGTTAAAAGCATCAGAAAGCCAGGAAACCCGCTCTTACCACCCTAAAAAATATTGGACTGTCCCGTGACATCATCCTGGGGAAAGATATCAAAAGAGCACTGAAATATCTGATGTCATTTTATGACAAACTTGCTGACTCACCTTTATAAATTGGAAATTAACTATTTTACTAGAATAACAAATGATTTTACTAAATAACACAACCACTAATTTCTCCTGCTAGAACCGCTGCTGGATTTGCCAGACTTTCTGCCACTCTTTTCTTCTTTGACGTCAGATCCAGACACAGGGGAATGTACCTTGGGTGACTTCAAGGAAGTATTAGACAGTGACTTTGGATGAGAAAGAGGAGGAGTGGCTACTGCAGGAGATATCTGTGTGTCTGCCTATAATATAAAAAAAAAAAGTAATATTGGCAATGGTAAATAAACACTGCTGAGTGAAAAACAGTAAAGTAATGGAAAACAGAATCTATTCTACATCTTTAGGAATATAGTGCTACATCTATATTTTATGCACCATTCGGAACACAGCTAGCTAGCACAGTTGGTTAAAACCCTCTGCACAGCGACCAGGTGATGAGCTCCTTGTGGTCCGGGTTCACGACCTGGGGTAGGCAGAAAAGCCACATTTCTTCAAGATTTACGGTATATCATGGAATCAAGGTCGAAGGGTTGCGATATTCATAGTACCGAGCCAAAGCGTTTAAAACTCATGGTTTCTGGATACTTAAAAGAAAAAATATATACCACTTGGTGGGTGATGTAGTCAACATACAACCGGCCGCCTTTACTTTCGAAGATTTACCTGATATCCCATTTAAGGCTAGGTCAATCTGGAAAACAAGGTCATTTTTGAGAAAAGTCTGGCCCCATTTGGGTTTGAACCCATGAGCTTCGGATCTGCATGTCAGTCCATTGGTCATGACATCCAGTCACATCCAAGCAGAGCAGTAAAGTTTGACTGAGTGCCTACATCCACTGAGCTGAGAATTAGTACCAGAAAATGCCCTGGGAAGTGAAGGTGACTGGCGTGATGCTGACCACATCACCCACGACTTGCCAGTTGATCTATAAAAATCAAAGTCATATATCTAATGTGCCAGTAGTGTAAAACGACTCATTTAATGATGAATAAACGAAATAATAAACTTTTCTTGTGGAACTCTTCTGCTCTGGTCAAAGGATAGCCATGGTCGAGCCATTTGCCTTGCACTCTGAAGGTCTCATTCCATGCATGAGCCGTTAAGTTCACTGGCAAAATTATTATTTTTTAACAAGATCCCTTGGAATAGTCACTGGAGCTATGGAGGTCATGCATTGTGCTACATTCTTGGCATGTGGCTAGCCATTCAGTGAAGAGAGATAAAGTTGAATAGGATAAAATCTGAACGCCAGTGCAATGAAGTTGATCCTCTTGACTTTAACTTCAACTTCTGAAATAGTCCAAGATGTGACAAAATGAGAACTGTTGATAACAAGATAGTGAAAAGATGTAATTTTAACACGTCTTCAGTCTCATTGACAGCTATTGATAACAGGAGATAGTGAAGAAACATAATTTTAACATGTCTTCAGTCTCAGTGAGAACTGTTGATAACAGGAGATAGTGAAGAAACATAATTTTAACATGTCTTCAGTCTCAGTGAGAACTGTTGATAACAGGAGATAGTGAAGAGACGTAATTTTAACACGTCTTTAGTCTCAATGAGAACTGTTGATAACAGAAGATAGTGAAGAGGCAGAATTTTAACACTTCAATCTTAATGAGAACTATTGATAACAGTCTCAGCGACAATGATGAGAGCAGAGGTTTATGGGTCAATGATCTGAGCCAGTGTTTGTCATCTGGTTGTTGGTGAAACAAATTTATGAAGTCTGTGATATCCTCGTATCTATTAGGAGTAGCTGGCTGAACGGTTAAGAATGCTGGTTGGGGACAAAAATAAAATCCTAACCTGCACAATCATGGTAATAGCACCAGCTGTGTGATCCTAAATCCTCAGATTGGTCCACAGGCCTTAGCTTATTGGCAAACCACCTACGTAAGCTATAAATAAAAATTGTTTAAAAAATTGCACCGAAGGGCGTGGGGACCATTTTATCACCGAAATACCACTAAACATTAAAAGCAAGTTACAGCTCCAGTAAATCTATTAATACTTTCAAAAAGCATTTTGCAAATAAATACAAAGATTTCCAAACCACCTTTTCTTGCTGTTTTTCTATCTGCTTCTCAAGAGCTCTGATTCTCTCCTGCAAAGCAACAACCTGGGCCTCTGCTTGTGATGCTCTTTCTTCGGCCGACTGTGCTCTTTCTTCTGTTGCTCTATGGGAGAGAATGAATGGGAAAGTTCACGGTGTGTGATAGTAAAACATCACATGGACCTTGTCATTTTACAGTAATAAATGATTACGGCTCTGCCTGGATGTGACTGTGATGCCAAGACCAATGAACTGACATGCAGATCTGAAGCTCATGGGTTCAAAACCAATTGGTTCCAGACTTGTCTCAAAAATGACCTTGTTTCCCAGGTTGACCGAGCCATCAATGGGTGCCAAGTTATGTCCTGGGAAGTAAAGGTAGCCGGTATGATCTTGACCAAAAAACCCAACAAGTGTCGATTGGTTCGATTGGTCTCTTAAAAAAAATAGGTCTAACACTATATGCTGAATGCCCAAAGGTGAGAATGAGTTAAGCTGAGTTAAGAAGTGACATCACAGCACTTACAACATTCCCATAGCAACCCAGTCCTTATTTTTAGCAGCTAGCAAAGAGTTCCATTTCCATTGATGCTAGCGGCAGTTTTATTGTTTCAGAGGTAAGAAAAGTATTCTTTACTTTTACTTGTCTGTATCATTCTCTCAAAAAAGTAACTAGCTAAACAATATACCATTCAATGGATGCTATCTCAACAAATACACTTGGCTTACAGATCTAAAAATCTGTCTTCTCCTGATGAAGAAAACACACATTTTACCATGTTCAGAAAGCCTTATTTAAAAAAGAAGCTAATGGTTATAGTTATAACCATGATTGTGTTTCTAGTGCCAGATGTAAACGCTTAAAACTGCTCGCCACCAAGTAGCCACTGTTATCAGTTGCTTCTCGAACATACAATTACTGCAAAGGACCACCCAAATGTTTTTTTTTAAAATAAACATACAACCTACATTAATTGATTCTGCAATGTTTCTACTGCAGCCAGGGCCTCATACGCTTTTCCTGTATCAAAAGATTCTTCAGTTCCCAACCTGGCATGCTGTTGGCTCAGTAACTGGGGAAAGAATGCATGCATGTACAAAAACTAGACTACTCTCCCATACAGTAAGTCAACAAAGTACAAAAACTAGACTACTCTCCGATACAGTAAGTCAATAAAGTACAAAAACTAGACTACTCTCTCCTACACAGTAAGTCAATAAAGTACAAAAAACTAGACTACTCTCTCCTACACAGTAAGTCAATAAAGTACAAAAACTAGGCTAATCTCTCCTACACAGTAAGTCAATAAAGTACAAAAACTAGACTACTCTCCTATACAGTAAGTCAATAAAGTACAAAAACTAGACTACTCTCCGATACAGTAAGTCAATAAAGTACAAAAACTAGACTACTCTTTCCTACACAGTAAGTCATTAAAGTATGAAAACTAGACTACTCTCCTATACAGTAAGTCAATAAAGTGCATAAATAATGCCACAAGATTTAGTAGGCAAAGTAAAAGTTAAGGAACCTTTTCCTGCCAGTGGTGAATCGGGTATATAGTGCTAGACCGGTATTTTTATAGACTTAAATGGCAAACAATGGGTTATGTTGTTAACATCACAGTAGCTACCTTTACTTCCCAGGACATTACCTGGTATCCATTTATTTGAAGGTTAAGGTAATCTGGAAGCCAGGGTCAATTTGGAAAAAATCTGTTTATCGACTGAAACCAAAGACCTTCAGACTGATAGGAATATGTCTAGCTCACTGCAGCTCTATTTTGTCTTACAGTTTCAGAAGAAAGACTTCCTAATTCAAGAAAAATTAGTAGAGTATTATTATTATGACTAAGTTTATGCAGATATTATGAATATTATTTTCATTATGTTATCTTTTCACAATTGAGGTCACTGCACACTGGGAATTACAATGTATACTCAGTCCTCCGACACAGCAGTCACTTCAAAGTATCTCTGCCGATTGTTCCCAAAAGTCTGGTTATAATGCCTCGAAGGTGGCATAGATGCTTTAATCTCATGTCATGCAATCATGTTAGTGTCAGAGATTTGTCACTGTCCACTGACCTAGTTCGTACAGCATTGCTGATATCTACTCTGTCCATGCTTCTTCCGGCATGCTTTTGTGCATTGCTTGCCAGTTGGTCCACTCATTCATAACCTTTCAAAGTGCCATAGCTAGGTGTATACATCCAGGTGATGAAGGTTAAGTGTGACTTCTGAATGCTTTCTACACATTCCAAGTGAATACTACATTTTCATTGTTATCCTGAAACTATTATTTAACATCCTCCAACAGATGTGGCCCAAATTATGGCATGCAGTCCTAGAACATTTTGTGTAAAGAATGGCCTTATTAGCCATCTATCATTATCATTATCAATCAGCATGTCCTTTACAATACGTCGCTCTCTTTACGGCACACTCAAAAGTCTCTCTCTCTCTCTACCAATTCTCCAGCCCTGTGTGCTTTCGCAGCCAGTGCATCTTCAATGTTCTATATCCACGTTCATGGAGGTCTGCCTCTACATCATTGTCCCAGAAACTGAACCCTCCATCACAATCTGACCACCACGGCACTGGACATGTCCACAATAGCTCAACTTTCGGGACAGGATGCTGTTTATGAGCCAGTTCTCCTCGATGGTCTGGTCCTGCAGGATGTTGGCGTTTTTGTCTTCTTAGTCCACAGTATTTTAAGACCCCTTCTGAAGCATTTCAATTGAAAAGCTCCGCCATGTCTAGAAAAATTAACTAAAGGACCCTTGTCACTCAAGTGGCGCATCAGTCATATGATGTTTGAGTCATATTTGTATTAACTAATCGGCACTCATTGGGTGACATGGTCACTCTCATGCCGGCTGCCTTTACTTCCCAGGACTTTACTAGATACCCACTTTAGGCTGGGTCAACCTGAAAACCAAAGTCGTTTTTTTAGAAGATCCAACTTGATACAGAATTGAATCAATGAAAGGACTGACTTTCATTACTTGAGATGGGCAACACAAGAATTTGAAATTAAATAATAGCATTGGTTTCATGAACTAAAAGAGATGAAGCCTTATTACAGGTTTTCGAAAACAGAGTCTTACGACATATCTTTGGACCCATCAAAGATGCAAACAGCGGGGAATAGAGAATAAGAAGCAACAACGAAATTCATAATCTGTTTAAGTCACCATTGATCACTGGCATCATAAGAGCTAATAGACTTAAATAGTTGGGGCATACTGAGAGAATGTCAGATGACAGAGAAGTGAAAACTGTGTACACAAGGGAGATGAAAGGTCATAGACCACAAGGCAGACCAAGAAGACGATAGAGAGATAATGTCCAGACAGACCTGCAAACACTTGGTGTCACCAACTGGAAAGAGAAGGCCAACCAGTGAGATGAATGGAGGCAGGTGATATCTGCAGCAATGAACCTTAAGGACTCAGAATGCTGAAGAAGAAGATGAAGATTATTGGTTTCATGAATTTTCCCAAAGCTCTTTATTCTAATACAGTTTCCTATACCTGTATGTGCTTTCCTTCAATGGTTTGTGTGTGTGTATTAGCATCGTATCCCAGCACCTCGATTCTCTGTCCGTCCACAGTTTTAGGCATGCAAGCAGTGGCTGTTGCCAGCTGACTTTCTGCTGGCGCTGAGTGTTTGACATCATCCTAGGTAAGAATGATGATTATTGTATGAATAATGATAATTACAACAGTGATGATACTACTAGTGACAGTAGTGGTAGTAGCAGCAGTAGTAGAAGTAGTCATGAAAGCAGTAACAGCAGCAGCAGTAGTAGCAGAAGTAGTCATAGTAGTATTAAGAGCAGTAGTAGTAGTAGAAGTAGTCTTGGTAGTAGTAACAGCAGCAGTAGTAATAGTAGTAGTAGCAGCAGCACCAATATTAGTAATGACAGTAGCATCAACAGTAGCTGCTCAATAAAAATAATAATAGTATTCTAATAAAATAACAGATGATATATATTTATATAAAAGACATGTGGTGGGAAAAATAAGGAGAGACAGAGTCACCAGTAAATAACTAACACAGATAGTTGGTACAGTTTAGATAAGCGATTACACAGAACACTAAAGAATCAAATGGTTTGGTCATCTGGTCAGTACGGAACAGCCAGCTTCAAGACAAGAGGCTGACCTGAAAGAGATGGGTGGAGGGAGTAAAGGAGACGCTACAGAATCACAATATGACATTAACACAAGCTTCACAACTAGCAACAGAAAGGAAACTATACCTAACTCCTCTCTGTGTTGCTCTATGTCATTAGCAGTAGGAGAAAATAAGAAGAAAGAAGAGAGTGTAGTAATTTGTTTAAGCGAAATTGTTTCATTCATGTTCTGTGCAAAACTTTCAGGGACTAAAATATATTAGAATTCTTGCTTATTGGCTGCTTGTTCTTTAATGTTAAATGTTTAATTATGAATTAACATGACAGCACTTGAGACATTTCCATAAGTGCTTCATCCCCATGTTCAGCAGCAAGAGTACAGTTCCACTTCTGATGGTACCGGTACCAGTATATCTATCTAATCTTTCCCATAAGTGTTTTGTTGTCCAGATCCCCGAGTCACTCCTCACAGCACCATTCTCCTCAGACCATGATGATCCTTATGTGCCTCCGCACTGTTCACTTGCTCCCAAAGAGCCCTTTCAACATCAGTAAGCCATTCAGAACCAGCCTTGCTTGTTCCTTAAGAATTTTTAACTTTTTCTAACAGCCTCTTAAAAACAATACTGCAGAGGCTCAGTAGAGGAGAAGAGGCAGACCAAGAAAGACCTGGTTACAGAACCTGACTGACTGGACAGGCCTCAGACATGCAACCATGAAGTCCACCGCAACTGATCGCCAAAGGTGGAGAGAGCTGATCAGACAGTCAACAGAAACTGGTGACCCAACGACATGTAGTGTTATGGGATAATGATGACGAACTTCTGAGAGTTGAATTTTCAGCATTATTTCACAACACATTCATTTTCATTCAAATTGTTTCTACCTCTGTTGTCAAGAGCTGAATATTCTCTCCTTTTACATTGGCCATCTCATTCCGTCGAAGTTCAACTGATTTTTCTGAAGGTGATGCAAAGATGGTGTCTGCAAACATCTGCTCCATGGCATTTCCTGTCAGCTGTGACAGCAGCATCTGGGCAACTTTTGTCCACTGTGTACATTCAGTCTGCAAAAGTGTACAAAAATGACACATAACACGCCTTCTTCTCAACTTACAAAAATGACACATAACACACCTTATTCTAAACTTACAAAAATGACACATCACACCTTCTTCTCAACTTACAAAAATGACCCATAACACACCTTCTCAACTTACAAAAATGACACATAACACACCTTTTTCTCAACTTACAAAAATGACACATAACACACCTTCTTCTCAACTTACAAAAATGTCACATAACACACTTCTCAACTTACAAAAATGACACATAACACACTTATTCACAACTTACAAAAATGACACATAACACACCTTCTTCTCAACTTACAAAAATGACACATAACACACCTTCTCAACTTTCAAAAATGACGCATAACACACCTTATTCTCAACTTACAAAAATGACACATAACCCACCTTCTCAACTTACAAAAATGACACATAACACACCTTCTTCTCAACTTACAAAAATGACACATAACACACCTTCTCAACTTACAAAAATGACGCATAACACACCTTATTCTCAACTTACAAAAATGACACATAACACACCTTATTCTAAACTTACAAAAATGACACATCACACATTCTTCTCAACTTACAAAAATGACCCATAACACACCTTCTCAACTTACAAAAATGACACATAACACACCTTCTTTTCAACTTACAAAAATGACACATAACACACCTTCTTCTCAACTTACAAAAATGACACATAACACACTTCTAAACTTACAAAAATGACACATAACATACTTCTAAACTTACAAAAATGACACATAACACAACTTCATTTCAACTTACAAAAATGACACTTAACGCACCTTCTTCTCAACTTACAAAAATGACACATAACACACTTCTTCTCAACTTACAAAAATGACACATAACACACCTTCTTCTCAACTTACAAAAATGACACTTAACGCACCTTCTTCTCAACTTACAAAAATGACACTTAACGCACCTTCTTCTCAACTTACAAAAATGACACTTAACACACCTTCTTCTCAACTTACAAAAATGACACATAACACACCTTCTTCTCAACTTATGACTTATGCAACATACAACCATCTGCACTTATGAGCACCCCCCCCCCCCCCCCTCCCAAAAATAATTTTTAATTAAGATAACTACACTGGTGGGGATGAACAAGTTCCCAGAACTGATGCAATAGAGTATTAGACAATTAAACATGCATAGACTGAATTTTTGTGTTAAATGTCCAAATTTTATATAACCTTTTCGAATTAAAAAAAAAAAGTGTTGAAAAATATAAACTGACTCACAATCAATTCGACGTATGACCTGTAAGAACGGAACTCGGTCATAAATCGGTGAGATCCTGTACAGTCATACACCACTAAACAATATGTGCATTATCACCATCAGGTGCACTGCCAGACAACACTAGTGTCACCCCACAGATATCAGTCCTTGGTGCTCTCTGTGTTGGTTATTCCTCAATGACACCATCCAGCAAATTATGCATAAGTTGTTGTCAAAGAAGTGGACATTTTTCAGTTGTCCCTAGCTTCCACAGAAAAAAATAGACTGGAACTACTTTTATCAGTTACTGCTTTCCTCGTATGGTTTCTAGGACCCCACTGTGGGGAGGGAGGGAGGGAGGGAGGGAGGGAGGGAGGGAGGGAGGGGGGAATAGACCCGCTGTCATAAGAGTAGACTAATTAGGAATTTTTCTTTCAGCCTGAGAAGCGAGAAACCAACAGTGCACAAACAAATAAGCCAAAACTGTAAAACAGATATGCATGCAAAACTCAGGTTCTGGAACAATTTAAAAGTCCAGACGTGGATGAACAACCAGAACTTCCCGCCAGAATTTACAGCCAGTGAATGCAAGGAAGAAGAAGACAGTTGTGTGTGTTCCTAGAAATGGCATAAATTATAATTTCTGGAACTTTCCACAGCTTCCATCAAGAAAACTAGAATGGAACCACCGTTATCATTAACTATTTGTAACTTTGCACTTGTCTGCCGAGATAGTGGGGTGGGTTCAATCTTTGAAGTGACACAATTTATAATATCTGGAATTTTCAACAGCTTCCATTGAGAAACAAGAATGGAACTACTATTTTCAGTCCTGGAGGGATCAATATTCAACACAGCTATACTTAATTTTATTAATTATTTAAAACTTGTTTATATTTCACCCCATTAAAAAAAAAAACATTCTTTTGTATTTTGTTTCACAATATAGTCTTTCATGTACATATCTCCTCCCTCCCCCCCTCCCCCCACCCCTACTACGTATTTTTGGGTTTCAAGTTGACCGTAGCTGTTTAGAAGCTAAATTGCTTTGTCCAATGAGTTGCACTGTAACAGTTTATGTTGTATTTAGTACTCTAGTGATGAAGACTTTGGTTGAAACATTCAGTTGTATTTGTGGGCTTCCTTTCCATTCACACCACAGAGCTATCTATTCACATTTCAAGTTGTACCTAGCACTTACTGTTATCATTACCTAACTGTAACTCTCTGCTTTCCTGTCAAAACAGGGGTGCGGGTTGTGGGTTCAATACCTAGAAATGGTATAATGTATAATTTCTAGAATTATCTAGAAACTGTCTGGGAAGAAAAGGCAATGAGTCTTTGTACCAGGGCACCCCTGTTCAAATTTCATAATCTATAATATACGAATGTCTAACACTTTGCACCCATTGGTAGGATCTACATATTAGCTGTAACAAAAACAAGAATTACGACAACTAGGATAAAATGAGAAAGGTTTCTATAGGCCCTCAACCAACTCATGTCAAATCCTTCTATTCTTTTCTATCTTAGGCAACTAACACGTCTTCAGAATTTTTTTCAACATCACTCTACAGCTCCCTTCTCCATGCATTTTTGGGTCTGCCTTTACCTCTATGCCACTGTGAGTTCCACTGTAAAGACATTCTCATATTTTCTCAGTGTGTGTCCTATCCATACCACTGGAATTTATTTAGTTCTCTCCCAAAAAATGTTGATTACTTACCTTTAAACGCTTGAGGTCATTTAATTCACCGTCAGCATTATCCTCACGGTTGCCTTGTCTTGCTAGGGTGTTCTCTACTACAATGCCGTCACAGCAGCTGCAGATGTTAATTGAAATAGGCAGGTCATTATTCACCGCAAAGTCTTATCATGAACATGCCAAAGAATGGGATCACAGTAGCTTAGAGGAATGGTGGTTCCTGTGACACTTAAATTTATGGATTTGAATCACATTGAAGGCAATTTAATCGAGACACTTTTCAAACTAGGAATCCAAAATCCCCCCCTCCCCCCAACTCTCTATCTATCTCTCTCTCTCTCTCTCTTTCTGACACACATACACTGATCTCAGAGCAGTGGCTTTCATGTTTAGCCTTTTGGGACATGGTCTTATTTATTTTGGTGCCAACCAGCACACCAAGTCTACTGGTTACTTATTACCAAATTTGCATTAATTAACTGCCTGTGATCTCTCCCTTTTTCATATTAACCCTACTCAATCTCAGTTACTATAGAACTTCAGCTACTCAGCAGATGTATTTTCTGAACTTCTTTAGGTGGAGCATGTATATACAATAAGCAACTACATACAAGGCATACATCAAAAGAAGAAAATGACATAGATCACAGGGTAGACCAATAACATGTTAGAGAGATAACATCAGAGAACCTCTACAACAGCACACTGTGTCTATGGTTGTGACGGTTAAAAGAGCAAGAAATAGAACCTTCTTTGACACCCAAAGCCGTAAAAGAAGAAGTGAGGAATAAGAAGAAGCAGAAAAAGACGAATCAGAAGAAGAAAAAGAAGAAGAAGAAGAAGAAGAAAAAAAAAAAAGAAGAAGAAAAAAAATAAATAAGAAGAAGAAGAAGAAGAAGAAGAAGAAGAAGAAGAAGAAGAAGAAGAAGAAGAAGAAGAAGAAGAAGAAGAAGAAGAAGAAGAAGAAGAAGAAGAAGAAGAAGAAGAAGAAAAAGAAGAAGAAGAAGAAGAAGAAGAAGAAGAAGAAGAAGAAGCAACCGCTTCTGATAAAATGAGTTAAAGCAACAACTGGGACTGAAAGAGTTCAGACAGGAGGCCCAGTGTGCACAGAAAATCTCTCTCAAACAATGCGAAGTGTAGGCCTTACAACAATTTCTCTGTTGCGTTCACCAGCTTTAAACTCATCTGGAGTGTTCTGGTGGTTCATCCACTCTACTTGCCATGATATGGAACCTAAGGTTCAGCCATTAGTCTCATGCTCTGAAGGTGTTCAAGGGTTTTTATAATTTATCTAGGGTTCCCAGGTTGACTCAGTCTAAAACTGGTTCCAGGAAATGTCCTCAAAAGTAAAGGCAGCTAGCATGATTTTGATCATATCACTCTTGTACCTTAAGCCAGACCTGTCAATGACATGAACAAGATCCTTTACAAGAGCTGACCAGTATGATTTTGAACAATAAATCAATAAAATGAAACAATTTTCACTTGAATTATATGAAAATTCAAATAAACAGAACAGCTCTGTTTCAAACATAAGGATAATCTGACATTCTTCAAGATTTAAAGACAATTTAAAAAAAAAAAAAAACATCCATCTACAGTTCTCACAGTGTAACATAGTTTGAGAAGATTTCTAGAGACTCAACAAGAAGGTTGGCAGTTTCTGTCAGTTCTGGAATTGATGCACTTCCCAGGAGAGCCATTTCTGCCGCTTCTTGAGAGTTGTCCTTATGGTCTGGAGCTAGCCTCAGCAAAACCTGAACCATCCATCTGACCATTTCAGAGTGAAGAGAGGATACCTGCAATTAATTTTAATAAAATTTAAAAACAAAAATATAAGAATGTGAAAAAAACAGGTTCCAGGAAATGTCCTCGGAAGTAAAGTCAGCTTGCATGATTTTGATCATTTCACTCATCAAGAGCCAGTCGGTTTAAACTAATTTGTGTCTTGAAACAAATTCTAGATTTGTCAATGAAATGAACAAGACCCTTTACTGACCTACTTTACTGCTCGAGATGGCAGGAAGTCAGCCAGAAGTTTCATACATACAGACAGTATTTTCTTTTTTCATTGTTTTTCAGTCAAAAAGAGTAAATTTTACCATAGTATTATTATAATTATAATTATCAATTTAAAAAAAATTCATTTTATTTCTTTTTCTCCAATCCTCATCCAAGTGAGGTAAATGTGTTATGCCTGTATGAAGCAAAGCTGTGATATTTGTGCCTTTCCGCTGTCACATCCAACTTCTTTGGAAATTCCCAGTTAGTTTTTTTTACAACACTTGTTAACTCATGTGTGTGGTGATGATAATTTCCAGATCCGCAGTTGTTGTCCCTAGAGGGTCCATCCAGGGCAACTGACCACGTACAGACTGGTCGACCCTTATGGAAAAGCAGGGGCATGGTATGGCTATTACCTGCTACCAAGGAGGCTTCCATAAATGCATGCCGATACATGGCGGTATGGTACTGTGCTCACCTAAAGAAACTGTTACATCCTGCATGTGACTAAAAGTTAAAGGTTCAATTTGGCAGGATCAGCTTCATCTCATCTGGTTTTATCCCATATGGCTTGGTCTCTCTCCACAGAACAGCTAGCCACCTGCCAAGAGCATCGCACAGAGCACGAACTCCGTAGCTCTGGAGATGATCTAGCTATATAAATTATATTTATATATACGGAAGTGAATCATGGACAATTTTTAGATTAGTGAAATATTGTTTGGTAGCTGAGGAGATGTAGTTTTTTAGATGAATGATGAGAAAACCTTGGACAGATAAAAATAGTAGTGGAAATATCTTAAAAGAACCTGACGCATGAAGAGAACTGATTGTCCACATCAGGGGGAGACAATCTACATTCTTTGGTCATGTGATCAGTTGGAGAAAACTGGAGTACATCGTGACAGTAGGAAAGTTGGAGGGGAAGAGAGGCAGAAGGACAGCAAGAGAAAAGACGTTGGACAGTTTGACATCATGGCATGCAGGATCATCTGTATCAGAGTTGACTGAAAGTATACGAGACAGAAGGTTGTGGATAGACATGACTATTAATTAATGCCATATGGCACTGACTTTAAAAAGAAGAAAAAGTTGTATTAAAAGACATAATAACAAATGTGCAAAATCACATAATATATTATATGATCCTCTAAAAAAGGCTCTAAGTTAGAAATTTACAACTCCATATAAGCTCTACTAAAACTCATTAAATATAAACCTCAACTGTAGTTTCACAGACACCAGTAAGCAACCCACCTGTTCCACAAGTTTAGCATCTTCGCTGTTTATAGAATTACTAGCTTGCATAGCCCACTTCTGAGTCTGTCTAATTACATCACGGAAATCACAACTTCAAGAACAAAAACCATGCATTAAGAAAGTGATAAGGCAAATGAGTGTGCGTATGTGAATAACTTTACTCACAACAATATTACATATAACACTGCTAGTAAACAAATGTAAAAATACCTGTGCTTTCTCTATTTACTACTTTTGCGGTGTGTGCAGATTATGATTTTTTTTCTCGCGACAGATATAAATTCACAGCCTTATCAAGGATTCAAACATGGGTCTCTGTGTACGCTTCCATAAAAAGTAGTTTCATAGCAGATCCAGCCGCTGGGAGTGTGAACTGCTAGCTCTGTATACCTTTATAGGTCAAGACATAGGAAGTGCCCCCACTGGTGGCCTTTCCTGAAAATGCCCAGAACATTCTGGAATTATCTAGTACACATTTTTAAGAGGCTGGGTTGAAACAAGAGCCGAACTAACCTGAAAAACCCTGCCACTTTTGAGGATTGATCCCCACGGGTTTGAGTTGAGACACATACCCAATGGGGCAGCAGGCAAGCATTCTAGCCATTGCGCTACTGAGCTCCACTGAAAGAAATACTGAAATGAATTACAGGCCATATACTATATTTGTCCATGTAAAAGACACCAGAGGTTTAAGACCACCCCTATTATTTTTAGCCAAAATTAATCAATAAATATTTCAGTCAGACTCCATATATAAGACGACCTCTCCCCATTTTAAAGTTAAAATAATTTGGGACAACATATTGTCTTATATACAGAAAACATGGTATTTTTTGTAATCAGGACTTAAAAAGTTTCAATATTAGAGCCACATAAAGTCTTTATCCTTCTGCCCCATATACCAGATGGTGCCTAAGCCCTCAAAGCCCTCCTCTGCCATCTAATTCAGATAACTCCATGTCCTCTCTATCTCATTCACCTATTTCATTTCTCTTCTCCATGTGTATTATTCAGGTCTTTCTTGTTTCTTTTGCCCTACTGGCTGTAGTGAAACAACATTGTAAATACACTATCCAAATTTCTTAATATCAGTCCTGTCCGATGCTGGAGTCTTTTCCTCACTTCATTATTTTTGGAATTTGTAAATTTGAGAAAAGTCCCTTACTTAACCATCGCAGGCAAAGTCAGAAATGATATTAACAGACAGACTGTAGGAACAACACCATGCAGCAAATTCATTGAGAAACAGAAGGTCAAATGGTTTGGTCATCTAGTAAGAATGCAGCCAGAACAACTACCAATGCAGGCACTACATATGAAAAGGTTTAAAGTGAAAGCAAGAGGCCGACCTAGGAGAAGATGGACTGATGACATTAAAGAGCTTCTACATCGACAAGGAGTGACAGTAGCCATAGCTGCCCATCAAACAATGGATCGCAAACTGTTCCTTCCCACAACACTTAATGGCGAAAGTGAAAATTGATGATGATGACGTTTGATTCTCTCACAAAGCTCTGCATTAATGATTCTGACAACAGCATTCAATTCCTTTCCTCCTGTACATTCACAAGTTAAATGAACGTTTTTAGTTTAATCACCGACACACATTCTAAGCTGTTTATGCTCCATACTGCAGTAGTGATTTCACACTAATGATAAATACTGTAAGTTTTATAATAGGCTAATTTTGTTTGACATCCATAGATTTTGTAATAATGCGTAACTCCTCTTGTCTAGTGCGTTCTTACTTGCAACTATACTAAGTGGATGATAAGTGGACTGTGGTGTAGCGGCGGCGAGAAGCTTGCCTGCAGGAAATTTGTGAGTTCAGATCCTGACAGAAGTTGACTTTTTTCTTCAAAAATGACTTTAGTTCCCAGGTCGACCCAGCCTTAAATGGGTACTGGGTAGAGTCCTGGGAAGTAAAGGCAGCCGGCATGATGTTGACGACATCACTTACAGAGTGCAGACTGGTCTACAAAATATAGGTCTAGCCCTATATGCCCAATGTGCCTGAAGGTTAGGAAAAGGGTCTTTTACATCACTTTTACTAGGTGGATAGTGGATTTGGTGAACAAGAAGTAATTTATGAGACGCTTCAGGTGGTTTATGGTGCAATACGGATTACACCACTGGCAGATTATTTCATATTATAGTGACAACAAATGACTAAATAAGTAACTCTGTAATAGGTAAACATACTGTAGCAAGATATAAAAGGAGCAGCAATTCCCAAAGTGGGCAGTCTTGCCCACAACTTAAGGCAGCGGGAAGATGTAGAGCTGTATTAAACCTGTCACCTCCAAATTATACAAGATTATGTTGTATTTTATGTGAAACACAGTGGGTTTATTTTTGTGTATATGTGTGTCTTAGAAATTATTAAGACTTAGTATACATGCACTGAGATCTATGGCGACGCATGAATGCCTACACCAGCTGGCAAGACACTTGATGATAAGATACATGCACTCTTGACAGCAATTTTTTTTTTAATGTCATGAAAAGTCAGCATACAAACTGATAAAAGCTGTTGGAGATTTGAAGATGCAGAGAAATAAAACTGTTGATGTCAGTGCTAGCAAGTACTTGATGAGGATGATGATGATGACATGAACATAAAACTGCCCCTTTAAAATGAGTTAGGGATGTCATTTCTGAAACATGGGAGCTGCAGTTCAGAGATGTTTGGGAATCACTGATAAGGATGAATACAATATTGTGAATATCTTGCAGAAAAGTGTGTGAGTAAAATCCAAACAATATGTGTGAAAGCAGTCAACAGTGATCCAGTACAACATATATTAATAAAACAAACTGGCAAATGTTTAATCTAGTTTTTTTAATTTTATTTTTTTCAGCTCCTCTCTCTCTCTCCCCCTCTCTTTTTTCTTGTCTCTCCCTATATACACTTAAAAACATAGAAATATTGTTGTATATTGTAAGCCTTTTTAATCTTCAGAATTAGCCTATTCAACATTGATGTTTAGGCACTCAGAATATATCCTTGTGTGTTCTGCCTCTCTCTGAAGATTCAGAAGAACCTGAATTTTTAATTTCTATAATTGCATTAGAAATTTAACAAAACACATATGTCTGCTTCATCCTCTGTCATGAACTACCCAGTTAGTGCTACAGTGAATCTCTGATTAATAATAAGTAGTAATTAAATAAATAAATGTATGTACAGTCTCAACAATAAAGGTTGGCTTCATTGGACCACAGCAGTCTTGACCTTAAACTTTTTCATGGCTCGACTCTTGTATCATTCTCCTAAAACCATTAGGAAATTTTTTTTAACTAACCAGCATAGGCAATGAACCCTAGTACTCAAGGATCATGAGGTTGGATTGTGCTTAATTGTACAATCATTTACATCAGTATAATGTAACTCTTGCTCAAAATGAGTGTTCCTACTTTTGCAGGAAGACAAGCAAGAGGAGAAATAAAAAAATAAATGAATTTATGCGCTACTTTCATAGAGGCTAAATACACAAAAGAAACAGTAACTAAGGAAGCCAGATTTCTATAATATGTTCTGACTAAATGTTTGGGGAAAAAAAGTAGAACACTATAAATTCTGGCTGGGATTCACAAGGCTTGAGTTGCTTGGGCCCAAAAGAGTTCAAAGCTGAGTCGATTAAATAAGTGACTGATATCTTAACTGCATTGTCACCTGCTTCTCCATTAACAGTCAAATAAATCTTTCAACAAGAAGGGTATGTTTTGTTTATAATTGTTTTACCTGGAATGTTTTGAGGCCTCTTCTCCATCTGCACACTGCAAGGGGACATCACTCTGTTCAACAGCTTTGTTCAACAGCAAAGTCCATTCTTCCAGCACATGGAACACGTTTGCCCAGTCTGATTCCTGCAGCACCAGTGATTTAACAGCATTAGACCTAAGTCGCTTCTCCCATGTTTCCAGTGAGCTCTGGAAACTGATAATCAGACGCCCAAGACCTATAACAAGATACAGATAGCATTTTGCTTTCAACCCAAGACCTAGAACAAGATACAGATAGCATTATGCTTTCAACCCAAGACCTAGAACAAGATACAGATAGCATTATGCTTTCAACCCAAGACCTAGAACAAGATACAGATAGCATTATGCTTTCAACCCAAGACCTAGAACAAGATACAGATAGCATTATGCTTTCAACCCAAGACCTAGAACAAGATACAGATAGCATTATGCTTTCAACCCAAGACCTAGAACAAGATACAGATAGCATTATGCTTTCAACCCAAGACCTAGAACAAGATACAGATAGCATTATGCTTTCAACCCAAGACCTAGAACAAGATACAGATAGCATTATGCTTTCAACCCAAGACCTAGAACAAGATACAGATAGCATTATGCTTTCAACCCAAGAGTATCACAGCAGCTGCCACATGGAAGAAATAATGATAACAATAAAATAACAAGTGTAATACTTTCAGTTGCTCCCCCACTGGCTTACCACCGCAAAGAAAGGAATCCATTTATGTTTCTGTCTGCTTCTCAAAGAATGGCTGTATTTACTTTTCTCTACTTTCATTAACTCTTTGAATCCCAAACAAAGCATGACATGTGAATCACTATCTGCTGAATCCCCTGCCTAGTTTAATATGTTCTTCTTTCTGTTTTTGGTCAGAACACACTTAAGAAATCTGATTTGCCCAGTGGCCACTACAACTTTTATATTACTGTTTTGAAAAAAATGTGCACTGGTGAATTTTAATCACATTTCTTCATTTGCATCTCCTACAAAACCTTCTGGTGCTAAAAGAGTTAACCATTTCACTCCAGTAACATTTAAAAAAAATGAATACTAGCCTGAGAACACCAAGGTATGTAACTCAAAGATATTAGATAAAACTGTGTTGAAACAAGTCCCCTTGGTGAGTTGGCCCATGAGAAAAATAATGCAGTTCTCATGAGACTTATGGACTCAGTCACTGGAGTGGCTAGATTTGATGGCTGGAACATCCACGTCATGGACACGTGGTGATCTTGAGAACCAAAGTGCAATGGTATTGGTTTGAGGGCACCATTCTGCACATGGATAAAATGTTGCCTGAATATGTCAGCTAGTGGAAGCTACATTTCACCAATGCATTTTATACCATATCTTTTGCAACTGATGGTGTAAACAACATTGTGGCTTGTGCAATAGAATGCTTCAGTTATGTGGAAGGTGGCATTAGGGAAAACCAGACAGGACCACATACAGACAAGTCTTATGGCAAGAGACCGTGCCGAGGTGGGACTTGGAAGTATGATGTAATCGACTCTTGACTAGAACATCTTTGAGGTTATGGTCATGTCTGTAGGTCAATAGGGGAAGTTCAGAGAAAATCGTGCTAGTGGCAGGGTCAGCTAATGAGATGCAGAGGTGCCTTAGGAGAATGTTTTTGGCATGTATGTTGTGAGAGTTGTAGGTAAGTGAGAGGGTGGATCTGCTGTGGAGATGGTTAGGTTTGGAAGTGAAGGCCTCGGCTTGACTGATAGACCATGATTGGTGAAAGGCAGCAGACAAAATATGTTCAGGGTAGTCTCAAAGCTGGGTGAAAATCTAGCATTTCCGGAGCCCTTTGGTTGAAGTCACTGTTCTCCTAACATAGTCTACAGAGGCATAGAAGCTGGAGAAAGGAATGGAGTCCTTGTAGGAAGATTTGAGGAAGAATATGTAAATTTAAAAAGCATGGAAATCTGTAGGCTAATAGTATATTAATATGAGCCTTTAGAATCCAAGTTGACAGTGAGATCCAGAAAATGCACAGATGTCGGCAAAAAGCTGGAAGTAAGTCGGATGCTAGGATGGAAGCTGGAGAAAAAAATCAATGAAGTCATGCAGTTCCGACATGGGCATATCAGAGACAACAATGCAGTTTTTTTTTTATTTTTTTTTTTTAATAGTAATATGTAGATTAACATGGAGAAAACACATCAACAAGGCAGCAACCAAAGCCAGAAGGAGGGTAGCCATTCTGAGAAAACTAAGTGGAACCACATGGGGTGCTAGCGGGAAAATACTTAGAAAAGTTTACCAACAAAGTGTTCGACCACATCTTGAATACGGATCAACAGCATGGAGTTCGGCATCAAAAACCACATTGCAAGAATTAGACAAAGTGCAAAATCAAGCACTCAGAGTTACCACAGGCAGTATGAAATCAACACCTATAGCTGTGATGGAGAAAATGGGGATGACCCAAGCACTGAGTGAACGCAGAGACACCAAGATGCTTTTACAAGCAGAAAAGTTTTCTTAGTATGCCCAGTCACCCTATGAATGAAAGATTCCAAAATTTAGCTTTGGGACGACTAAAGAGAAGTAGTTTTATCCACCAGGCCAAACGGCTCGGAAGACAAACCACTGATTTTACCTGCAACTGATAGATCCTTAAATGCTGTCCCAGAACGGACCCCCTGGAGAGAGGAGTATAAGTTTCCAATACACATCAAGACTGAAGTGAAAGGGGTATTTGACAAGGAAGAACAAAACAGTGTGCAGCGCAAAACAGCCACCCTCAGTCTACTTGATGATGAATACCCGCAGAACCTTTGGGTCCGTGTTTACACAGATGGGTCAGCAGAAAGCGCAGTCAGAAACGGAGGTGCGGGAGTGTACATTGAGTATCCTAATAATACCAGGGATACAGCCAAATTACCAACGGGAAAGCACTGTCACAACTATGATGCAGAAGTTCAAGCCATCAAGATAGCGGCAGAGAAACTACTAAATACAGGGTATTTTTCACAACCAGTGGTATTCCTGACAGATGCAAAAGCAGTACTTCAGTCACTCCAGTCTGGAAAATTACCAAGCATACGGACACTATTATCCGAACTAGGCAACCGCTGTAAATTAGTAATGCAGTGGATACCTTCCCACTGTGGAGTTCATGGAAAAAAAAAGCTGATAAACTAGCTAAGGAAGGTGCAACTGAATAACAACCTAACATACCAGTCTCTTATCAACAGAAGAAGAGAATGATCAAATCAATCAGAATGCCACTGAAACTGGCACAAGATGATTACCATATTATGGACAGACCAGAGCAAGTCATTATCCTTCGCCTTAGAACAGGGCACAATCGACTTCGCTCCCACATGTACAACAAATTTAAGATTGGCCAATCAGCCATGTGTACTTGTGGACTGGCACCTGAAACAACAGATCACATCCTTCAAGACTGTCCCAGATTCTACGCTTTCAGGCAAAACCTTTGGCCAAAAGAGACACTTGTGGAAGTCAAACTTTACGGGCCGCTTAGTGAATTACAAAAGACAGTGAAATTCATACTAGAGACAGCTTTGCAGATATAGACAATTTATTTCATGCGAACGAAAGAAGAAGAAGAAGAATAGTAATATTATTTTTAATATTAACAGTAATTTAATAGTAATATTTTTAAATAGTCTACAATTACTGAGACTATAGTTGTTTATATGATTAACAGTATTAACAGATTCTATAGTTACTTATATATAATAGTCCATAATTGAATTTCTATAGTTATCTTATACCTTTATTAGTCTATAATTTCTGAAACTGCTACTCCAGAAATGATAGACTTCACCCCCGTACTTGTACACAGAGTTATTGAAGCAAGGTGTTGATCAGTTGTTTTCTTGCTTACTTTTTCATAGTTTATCTAAGTTAGCCTATTCACACCTACAAGTTTATTATTTTAAAGTAACAACTATTGAAAATAGAAAGATACAAAGCAACTTCTGTATTATTAGCTGACGACACTGATAATTAGATAATCACTGACAGCTCAGACTAAATTGGAAGTGTCAATAAAATAAAAATAAAAATAAGCCATTTGGAAGTGTCAATGAAAAAAAAAATGCTAGCTGAGAAAAAGGTACTGGAAACACAAATGAAGAATACATACCATGTTCACCAGTGATCCTGTCATGGAATTCTTTGTGCAACTGCTCAACATCCTGAAGATTCATTTAAGACATGTTTGATAACAGAATAAAACAAGTATCCCATATAAACTGTTTAGCTAACAGATCATCCTCACTGCACACCCAACAGTCCATGTATGCTCAGATGCCCTCTTCACTTTATCCTTCAGACTAATGTTTAACCTTTTCATCAAGTTAATGCTTTAAAAAATATTTCATGCCAAAAAATGCTTACATAACAACTATTGTACACAGGTAACAAATAAATTGTTGAACACTTTTTATCTACAATCTAAAATTTTTTGTTTCTAAATAAATAAAGATACGCAAAGGGAGTTATCAATAAACAAGAACAGAGTGAACTATTAAATGGAGTGCATTCCCCAGGGCCTCAAACAGATATGTAAGGGGTGACTCCTGTCATGACCTCATGACCTCTATTAGCACTACACATATATAAATAGAACCAGTGACATTTAACTACGATTTTTGAGAACAGGTACCTGCAGAAATAGAAATATGTCAGCATTGACAAGGATGCATCACAACCAGAGACAGCCGTCTTAGGGTAATAAGGATAAAATCTAGAGGGTCGACTTTTATTTTAAACTTTTATTTTTTAGACTTAATTGGCCCCGATGGGTAATGTGATCAATAATGTGTCAGCCATATTTACTTCCTAGAACCGATTGCTGTTGTGGGCTGAGTTGATCAGGAATTCATGTTAATTATTTACTTGTTTAATCCCTGCCTGAATGGAGATACACATACAAGACTTCCAGGCTAGCAAAGGGAAAACTTAACATTCAACAGCTTTACCTAATATGTTTGAGTTACGACCCTTGTCTGTCTCAGTTTTCTCAGGCTACAATTAATTTCTGGTGTTCACACATGTGTCATAGATTCAACTGGCAAGATAAACATGTGGATTTCTCATGGAGATACTTCAATGAAGTGATTTTTTTTTGTATGCTCGTTTGCATTTGAGGCATCATCTATTAGTTTAATGTGCTGATGAAGGCTTTCTGGCCTCAGCATTCCCTTGCCGTTTATGTTTGTGATAATGTGAACCGGACTATGTCTTCTTTGTGTCTGGTTTGATATCCTTTCATGAAACTAGGCTGACAGGTAAACATGCTAGTTACTGGGCGACAACAGTTCATGAATGGTGCCAAACAAGAAATAACAATAACTTCTTCCTCTTCTTCTTTTTTTTTCTGGTCCTTTTATGTCTGTCAGAATTAGGTTTTGAAGAGGCATTAGGTGCGAGCCCTGGTAAGATGATGTAGTTTCTGTTTGGCACAAAAATAAACATTCTAACCTGCACAGTTTGTGGTGACAGCACTAATGATGTGGCCATTAGCACCCCCCCCCCCTTCCCTCCCCCACCTCAACCAGTCTACACGCATGGTCTTGAGACATGGCGTCTGCCTAAAGTGCTGAAGCTCCGGGTTCAAGCCCCGGTGAAGGCTGGGATTTTTTCACGTGGATTTCTAGTAATTCCCCCCCTGGTTTCTGGTTAGTGAGATCAGACTCCCATGTGCATTGTTGCGGACGTAAAAATTCCATTGGCAGTTGGAAATCAAAAAAGAGTAGCCTAACGGCGCTGCCCGGGCAAAATTTGGAGTTAAAAATCTGGATAAAGTATTTCAGGATCCTCTCCGGTGCTACAGAGTTCATGCACTGAGCTGAAACCTTCAGATTCAGGCTTAAGTCAGAAGTAGAACGGAGCACCTATGGGTTACTACCCGTGTGCCATATATGTTGATCCCTTGTTTAAACCTAACCCTGAAAGGTTTTAAACATGGCCAGTAGTAGTAGATAGGGCGCTCTGTGGTGAACTATCTGGTGGTAATCTTGACACATGACCAAACCATTGGATTTGTTATAACTTGATGTAGTAGTTTAGTACAGGTTCCATCCCAACGGTTTTTCTGATATGGTCATTTCTGATTCAGTCTCTTCTAGTTACATTTTAAATCTGACGTTGACATTTCAGTTTTGTTGTTATTGCTAATGTCCATGTTTGGCACTGGTAATACAATATTGGTAAAAATACTATACTTAACAGTGCTCTTTTGGTTGAATGTTGAATTAAGAATCAACATCACAGCACTAGGGATACTCCCATAAGTGCTCCATCCCCATCTTCAGCAGCAAGCAAAGAGTTCCAATTCCGATGGAACCAGCAAATGTCTGATTGTAAATCCATCTCCTCCTTCCCCTGAGAGTTCAGCGTTGGCCAGATCTTCTGGTAACTCCTCGCAGCGCCATTCTCCTCAGATCATAATGATCTATCTGCGCCTCTGCAGTGTTCACTTGTTCCCAGAAGGCCCTCACAATATCTTAACCAATTCATCACCAAGTGGTGGAGAGTCGGCCAGTCTATCTGCCTGCTCATTTCCCAACACACCAGCATCAGCTGGGGAGAATATATCCAAAGGATGCTAGCTTTTGGTGTCAACTATTACATTTTTAATTCTATAAAACAAGTGTAATCTGGAGTGCGCTCACATACGCACCCATGCATGTGCGCACGCACCCATGTTCGCATGCGCACACACATACACAGAGAAAGAGAGAGAGAGAGAGATTTCCCTGATTACCTTGTTAAGTGCAAGCATGTTGATCTGTTCAGGATGTACTTTACTGCCACCAGCACTGTGTCGTGCAAAGATCTCTAAGGCACTGTCTGTCCAGCCTTCCATTTCTTTACAGATCGCAGAGAATGCCTCGTTGTTGCTTAGGTAAACATCTCCTCCAAATGTGTCTGTCTCCTTGGTTATCAACTATACATGAAAAAATCATCACCACATCCATGTGAACATGTGAGTCAGAACTAACAGTAAAATAACTTCTTTTGTCCTAAAGTTTTACACAGACAGAGAGGTGTTATATGTTGTCTTTTGTCAGTTGTGTAAATTGTATATTGTATTCTTGTTGTAAAATAACAAGTGTCGGATATCCTTTCACACTGTGAGGTGTACTGGGTATACAAGAGGTTTGAACAACAGATCAACATCATGGCACATGGGTGTAACCCATAAGTGCTCTGTTATTCTTCTAACTCAAGTCTGAGTCCGAAGAAGCTCAGCACAGTGCACAGGCTTTGTAGAACCAGCGAGGATCCTGAAATACTTGGGTAGATTTTTAACTCCAAATTTTGCCTTGGCAGCGCTGTTAGGCTACTCTTTTCAATTTCCAACTGTCAAGGGATTTTTTACGTACGCAACAATGCACACAGGCTTCCGATCTCACTACTCAGAGACCAGGGGGAATTACCAGAAGTCCAAGTCCATGAAAAAAAAAATCCCAGCCTTTACCAGGGATTGAACCCGGGACCTCTAGCACTCGAGGCGGACACCATGCCCAGAGACCACGCAGTCCCCATTGGGCATACAACAAAACTGAAGTACCCAAGTCTTGTATTTATGTATTTCTTGTGTTGTTGTTTCCTCACAAAGAGAAGAAGAATCAATGTATATTTCACTGCAACTACTCGATTCCATAAGATTCCTAGCGAACAAAAATTCTAAACTTGCTCCTCCTTCAACTGACTAGTTACCTTGTTATATTGAGGAGAGTTTTCTTTGCTGTCTTATTTGTATTTTAATTTATTGTGGTGTACAGTTACACCTGGTTTTCCTTTTTTTCTTGGTCTTCCATATCTGGTGTGGTCTTGTAGGTCCTGGTAGGGTCTGGTATTCTTTTCTTGTCTCAGTGGGTTTTTGCTGTTTGGTTGCTGGGGCTTGGCTTTCCGTGTGTCTGTTGCCGTGCTAGGGCCATTAACGCCAGGTGCTGAGTTTCTGCTCTGAAAGGCCCACGGTTTCATTGTAACTACTCAGAACTTTGTTTTTCTTATAGCCCATGCTGTGTGGCATTGGCAATTGTTGTGTGCAATCTGAAGATTCACACTAGGGCAGACTGCTCATGAACAAGAGATACGACAAGAGACATGGCCTGACTTGCCAACAAAAAAATTAACAGAAGACAGTAGCATAAAAGTGAGTGAATGGCAGAGGCTTGTCTTAATACGTTCTTGATGCCGCCGTTCATGGGAAAGCAAATGCTCTGACCTCCAGAATGAAGGTAAAAGGAGTTATCCTGCCATTGTTAAGAAAGGTGATTGTGATACATTCATTTCATGGATACGCACATTTACACGTGGAGAGTTATTACATAAACGTATTCTGTCGCCTGTCAACAACATATCGTCGAGTGTAGAAGTTTCAACAGTTGACTTAGTTGATAGCGTTTTCTGTTTGTGGCTGTGGTTAGCATTTGTTACCCCATAGAGTAATAAGTTTTTTGGTGCGGCATTGACCTGGGATGTACTAGAGCAATTATCGCTGTACAGTAATTATGTCTAGTGCTACCTTCTGTCTCATGTACTTTCAATAATTTATGACACAGATGATCTTCCATAACATGATGTCAAAATGTCCGGCATCGTCTCTCTATCTCCCTCTGCCTCTTCTCCTCTCCAGCTTTCCCACCGTCACGATGTACTCCAGATTTCTTCTTCTGATACAGGCAATCAGTTCTCTTTATGAGTCCATTTTTTCTTTCAAGATATCTACATTACTTTCTTATCTGTCCAGTGTGTTCTCATCATTCATCTATAAAACCCCATCTCCGCTGCTTCCACATAATTTGTGACTAATTGGCTAACTGTCCATGATTCACTTTCCTATATCAGGATAGAACTAAGGATTTATGAAACATAAATCTGATATATCCTCACATCTGCTCAATCTACAAACCTCAAGCCAAGCTGTCATCCCTGCAGTCAGAGACCTGACAAACTCCTCGTCCGGTATCTTGTCCACGCGATTGTCCAGATTGCTGAAAGTTGAGAAGGACAAGCATATAGGTTAGAGATCTGTGTGGGGAGGTGGGGGAGTGTCTGTGTAGGGAGGTGGGGAGTGTCTGTGTGAGGAGATGGGGGAGTGTGTGTGTATACATTCACACATCCACACACATACACCTATGCATGCATACATAAACACATACATCCATACATGCATACAGACACACATACACACACACGCATGCAAGCACATGCATGCACGCATGCACACACACACACACATACATACATACATATATACATACATAGAGAGAGAGAATGAAAGCAATAATTAGAAAGAGTAAGAGAAAGAGAGAGGGCGAGATAGAATGAGCAAATGAAAAAGAAGACAGATTTAAAGGTTATCTCAATAAAGCAAAAGCTCAGTCAAATCAACAATTTTTTTTTTATACCTCTTCACTTACACATATTTCTGCTTGAAGATGGTCAGCTGACTCTGAACATCATTTCTCATAGTCTTCATCGCCTCCCTCATGTTGTCTTCCCTCTGCTTTAGTGAAATGTTTAGATCTTCCACAAGGTCGCTCCAAGCCTCCACATGGCCCTAGGAAGTGTAAATATACATACTAAGTAAAGTAAATCTCGGTGTGGGTACCCCGGCCCCATTTTGGAAAACAACAAAATAGATCCACTGTACTCCAAACAAGAGCGTTGTAGAAGGGGACTAATTATGGGTGTTTCTGTCAAAGTCGGAGTGCATCAGCCTGGTAGCCAAGGAACCAAGTCTGCATACAAATAAGCCATGTCTGTATGGTGGATGTGAATGCAAAACTCCAGTTCTGGATCAAGATCAAAATCTAGGAATGGAGGGGGGGGGGGGGGGGGAACGACCAGAAGTTACTACTGCAATCTGCAGCCAGTGGACGCTAAAAAGAAGAACAAGAAGTATAGATTTCATTATTCACTCTTGAGACATAGTGAGTATATGGTGCATCGAAGAAGCGGTGCTGTCCATGGCAAAGTAGGAAATGTTTGCCCCATGTTTTAAAGGTTGTGGGTTTGGTTACAGTTTCCATTGTTTGATTCATGAGTGCCGGTGTTTCATAGATCCTTGGGGTTTACCACACTGGAGCTACAAAATTAATGCCGTTTGCAACATTTCTGACAGGTGAAAAACCACACTGTGAAGTGAGATCAAGTCGTATGGGATAAACTAGTGCAAAGAAGTCAATCCTCTTGTCTTCAAACAATTTAGAAAAAGTAAAGGAGGGAAAACCCATAGTTTTAAAGACAAAAGAGGGAAAACCCATAGTTTAAAAGACAAAAGAGGGAAAACCCATAGTTTAAAAGACAAAGGAGGGAAAACCCATAGTTTTAAACACAGATCAGTCTGATTAACTCTTTTAAGTTCAATAGATTTGGCAGCAGATGTTGAATGTAGCAATCGCCATATTGAAGAATACACATCAATGTCTTGCTTCTGAAATACAACTTATACTGTGCTGCATGTTCAAATACCTAGCCAGATTTCCTTAGTGTATTCAGACTAAACATAAAGATTTAATTACACATAATGTATTGCCTGATACAGATGTAAAAGCTGATCACATGTGATGCGTTACTTAGGGCAGAAAGAGTTAAGATGGCATATAGAATATTTTGGCAGCAGCGGTGGTGTAGCGGCTAGATGCTCTCCTGTGAATCTGAAGGTCAAGGGTTCCGGTCCTGTCAGGGCCAGACTTTTTTTTTTAAAATGAACTTGACTCCCAGGCAAAGTCATGGGAAGTAAAGACGGCTAGCATAATAATGATGACATCATCCAGCCAGTGCTGATTGGTCTATAAAATGTAGGTCTAGCCCTATATGCCCAATATGTCTGAAAGCGTGGAACAGGGTACTGTACTTTACAAAATATTACACTGGTGGGGGAAAGGGGGCAGGGAGGGTGAGATTGTTCAGTTTTATTTATTGAGAGAGACAATGTGATGTGTGTTTCAGTGGAATTAATTCCATTTGTGTGCTTCATCACATGTTGATGTAACTCTTTAATAATGCACTGATGAGATAATTATAAGCAATTAGATCAATAATGCACTAAGAAAGACAAGAGACAATGTGATGTGGGTTTCAGTAGAATTAATCCGCTGATAGTAAAGTAAATAAAGGTACTTTTCCATGCCTTTAGGTGTATAGGGCATATAGGGCTAGACCTATATTTTTATAGAGCAATCGGCACAAGATAGGTGATGTGGTCAGCATCACGCCGGCTGTCTATACTTCCCAGGACTGTATCTGGTACCCACTCGAGGCTGGGTCGATCTGGGAGTCAATTTCTTTTGTTTTTTAAAGTCCCACTCCACCAGGGAGCAAACCCACGACCTTCTGATCCGCACGTGAGCGTCGTCGCTACACCATGAAACTCCCATCACATGGTAATGTAACTTTTTAAAAATGCGCTGATAAGATACAGTGACACATGTTTGGCAATAAATTGTGCAATGTATTTTTGTGTGTGCATTATTTATATTATGTTTCTGTTAGCATCTTCTATTTCTCAGTTTATGCTAGTTACACGCATAAGCAAGCATACACAAGAAGCGTTACCTGTATTTTTGTAAGGAGATCTGTGTCTCTATCACTCAGAAGAATGGTAAAGTGACTTGCCAGTTTGACCCAGCTTTTCTCCAACAGTTGTAGCCTTCTTGCTGTGTTTAATTTATTTTCCTCCGTCACCTTAAAAAAAACACCACGACATTGCTAGAAATTAGAATGTGAGATGGAAAAAACATGAAAAAAGTTAGCAAAAAGGGGACCTGAAAAAGAAAGTTTATATGAACAAAGTTAACATGAAGTTTATTGGAAAAAAGTTAACACAAAATTAATTGAAACAAGAGTAATGTGAACAAAAATTAATATAAACAAGAAATATTCATGAACAAGTCTTTTGTTCTTTCTTCTTGTTTCCTACTGCTAATGCTGTAAAAAGTTGCAGAGAGGAGTAATGTATGTATGTAGTTCCTGTCTTTTGCTAGTTGTATAGCTTATGTTAATGTCATATTGCATTTCAGTGGTGTATTTATTTTTAAGACCACCCATCTCTTTCTTGGTCAATCTCTTGCCTAGTAACCTGCTGAATGCATGTAGTTGCTGGCTTATTTTGTTGCATTCCGGAAATGATTTTGTTCCCCTTTTGACATTATACGTAATAATTCACAAGTAACTATGCCTACCATTGTTCTTAGTTCTTCACTGGTGATTCTGTGTCGTCTTTTTTTTCCTGCCGCATTTTTAGACATCTTACATGTTATGATTGTTTGCTTACATTTTTCTAGGACTGTACACTAAACAACGTAAATGTGACCAATGTTTAAAAAAAAAAGTCAAGATAAACAAACTTAACATAAAAAAGTTCACACAAATGTAACATTTCATAAAAATATTCACACAAACAAATGTAACAAAAAAGGGTTAACACAAACAAACGTAACATAAAAATGTTCACACAAACAAATGTAACACAAAAACGTTCAACTAAACAAATGCTACTTAAAAGTTTTACACAAACAAATGTAAAATAAAAGGTTCACACAAACAAATGTAATATAAAAACGTTCACACAAACAAATGTAACATAAAAACATTTACACAAAGAAATGTAACATTAAAAAAATTCACACAAACAAATGTAACACAAAAACATTCACACAAACAAATGTAACATAAAAACATTCACACAAACAAATGTAACATAAAAATGTTCACACAAACAAATGTAACATAAAAATATTCACACAAACAAATGTTACATAATATGTTCACACAAACAAAAGTAACATAAAAGGTTCCCACAAACAAATGTAACATAAAACGTTCAATGTAAAATAAAACTTTCACACAAACAAATGTAACATAAAAACCTTCACACAAAAAAATGTAACATAAAAGGTTCCCACAAACAAATGTCACATAAAACGTTCACACAAACAAATGTAACATAAAAACATTTACACAAACAAATGTCACATAAAACGTTTACACAAACAAATGTAACATAAAAATATTCACACAAACAAATGTTACATAATACGTTCACACAAACAAAAGTAACATAAAAGGTTCCCACAAACAAATGTAACATAAAACGTTCAATGTAAAATAAAACTTTCACACAAACAAATGTAACATAAAAACCTTCACACAAAAAAATGTAACATAAAAGGTTCCCACAAACAAATGTCACATAAAACGTTCACACAAACAAATGTCATATAATATGTTCACACAAACAAAAGTAACATAAAAGGTTCACACAAACAAAATGGATGGTGGCAATGGTGTTTACTATTGGTGAATGCTCACCTTTAAAGCCAAACAATAAGCAGCAGTGGTCCACATTTCCTTCTCCTCAGACAGCACAAACACCTGCCTCTCTAGCCTCCGCCTCTGAAGTTCATACAGGTCATGGTACTCGGCAAGCAGACTGGCATTCTTCTGGGACTCAGCCAGAGCACTCCTCAGCTGTGTTAACACACACACAACAAATATTGCTGGGTTTAGGAGTAGAGTTACATGGCTAAACATACACAATGACTTTCTAGACTCAGTTAGTGAAACAGGTGTTGCCTTCCCAAAGAATGTTAGCTGCATGTTATGTGCTGAATACATTTGGTATGTAACTATGCCAGAGGTCAAAGGTAGTTTGAATGCAAATGAATATTTATAAGTAGGCTAACAGAGACTAGTGCAAAATACTCATGCCACTTAGAGTTCATGAAACACAGATAACTTTAAATTCATTCGTAGCTGGGTCATGAATACTGCCAGATGGACTGCTTGCTGGAAAAACCCGTGGTAGTTTGATTTAGTAACTCTCAGTCAGTGACATAGGATGGATGTGTGTGGACGTGTGTGACCTTTGTTCTTCGCAAAGTGTATTATTTTATTCTGATTGGATTGTCCAGTGTAATTTGGAAATGCTATTCTCGTCAGCTTGTCAAACTGTTTGATCTTTTGGTCTTTAATTATTTGTATTACAGATTTTAGTCGTAGTTTTCTTTTTTCTAATTCATTCATTTTTTCTTTTAAAATTGTATCTCTCCACTCTAGCAGCTAAAAGGAAAAGCAAATACTTACATCTTCCTGTGCTTTGAGTGCTTCCTTGGTGACTTTTTGGTCATGCTCTTTCACGTCTGTCAATTCACTGAAACGTTAAGGAAGTCAAAAAAGGGGAAAATGATATGAGTTTTGAAACACACTAGGCTAATTCTAATTCAACACAATATGAATGAATGAAGAGGTGACATCTCTGCACATGAGGATATTTTCAGGCATGCTCTTTACATCTGTCATTTTACTGATGTGTGAATGATGTCAGAATAAGGGAGATATCATATGAGTTTTGACATGCATGAGGCTGATTCTGTTTAACAAAAAAATTAATGGGTAAATAAATTAATCAATCAATCAAAGAACCAAGGACCACAAAGGTGTCCATGACATGGAGGTGACAGCCATTAAATCTAGCCACTGCAGCAACAGAGTTCGCAAAACTCTTGAAAATCGCTTTATTTACACCTTGGGAACTCTGGCACTTATAGGACTAAACTGTCAACACAGCTTCATCTAAATCCCAGGGGGCTGAACTGCCTACACAGTTTCCCCTTATCCTCAAATGACGGCCCCTGGCACATCCCTGGATATACATTTTCTAGGCCCCACGTGCCTCGCCAGACAATTGTCTTGACATCGACCTGGCTGCCATGAGATACAAAGATAAGTGATATTGTGTATTTGTCTAGTTTGTCTAATCCATGTATGTGCTGAAGAAGGCTCCACAGCCGCAACATTCACGTTTTGTTTGTGTTTGTTATATTGTGAAGCTTGCTGATATTCTTTTCGTTCGGTTTTAAATTTTTCCAATGAAAGAACTGATATCATTGTATTTAGGATCTCTCCAAGTTTGCTTTTTTCCTATCTGTCCGAAGGACGGGAAAAGAAAACGGGGAAAGACCAAGAGAGATCCCACGTAGAACTTTCATCAGGGAGGGCTTAAACACGGGCCTAAAAAACATCCAAGACCTAAAGCAGGTGGCAACAAACCGCCAGACAAGGAGAGCTGTGACCTCTGCCCTATGCACTGCCTTAGGTTCTAGAGGAAAGACTAACTAATTCACTGATGGGTGGATGTTATCCAACAACAACAAAAAAGTAGAAAATAATATGAGTTTTGAGATGCATAGGGCTTATTCTATTTAACAAAATTTGAATGCATCAATCAAGAATTTGACTGCACTTGGGATATTTTCATGCATGCTCCATCCCCTTTCTCATTAGCTAACGAAGAGTTGCAATACTGACAGTGCAGTAGCAAACTGATTACAAGATTGCCTGCACTTTCAACAAAATTCATTGTATCCTGTTTAGTTTTCTCTAAGTTCAAATATATGAAATATATGATCTATTTTAATTTCAGGAACTATGGTAGCTGGCATGATACAGACCATCTCTCTTCTGCCTTTCTAACCCCTAATGGAGCATAGGCCCTCAACCAGATCATGTCAGGTTGTTCTATTGTTCTTTATTGCATGCAGCTCTCCTCATGTCCTCCCCATGATTATAACATTATTCTCTAGCTCCCTTCTCTTTGTGGTTTTTGGTCTTCCTTTATTTCTATGCCCATGTGGGCTGCAGTGCAAAGACATTCTAGTCATATTATTCTCAGGTTTTTTCAATGTGTGTCCTATCCACTGCCAGAGTCTTTTCTTCACCTCTTGGTCCAGTGGTACTTGTTTAGTTCTCTCCCCAAACTCTACATTAGTGATTCTATAATACCATTTAATTCCCTCTATTCTGCGCAGGCCCCAGTTAATGAATATTTGTGGTTTATTAGTAATTGCCTTAGTTGTTCTCAATCATTGATACAGACCATTTACCCATCAGATGCAGTTTTGTCCATAAAAAAAAATATGAAGCTCGCACCAAATGCAGTTTTGTCCATAAAAAAAATATGAAGCTCGCACCAAAGTCCTCACAGTTTGCACAGAAGACTACTTTTCTCTATTTAAATTTCATACAGTGGTGTTTATAATGCAGATTATGATGGTGATCATGATATCATCCCTTTACCTATTAACAAGTGCATTTTAAAACATGCATTTTATCAGATTTAAAAAAAAAAACTCCTGCAAACAAATCCCATTATTGCTTAGAAAAAACATTTCTGTATATTACACACAATCTTCTTCTTCTTCACTTCCTCTTTTACCGCTGTGGGTGTAGAGGGAGATATAAGGTTCTGTTTCTGGCTCTTCTGGCCACCTCGACCGTAGGCACATCCTGCTGTTGTAGAGCTTCTCTGATGTTATCCTTCCATCTTGTTCTTGGTCTCAGAATGAATTGTAAAATGTGGCTGTGAAGTATGGACAGTTAGTAAACAAGCCACACAAACAAAAAATACTTTGAGGCCTTAGTGACGTGGATTACAGAAGCATTAATTTCGAGGTATGACCCAAAAATCCAAGTGGTAAATTTGTGTGTGTGTGTGGAATCACAAGATGTATACTTTTTGAACATACCCCTAATTGTGGTCCTAATTTCTGTACAGACAATATCACATGCTCTCCACATTATGACAGGCACTATGCGCTCTGCGTCAATATCAGACATGGAAACAATTACTAGTTGCCATGCTCTGGAAGACAGGAGAGATAGAAAGCTCCTCATCCAGCTCTCTAAATACCATCACTTGAAAGAACAACCAATGCACAGTGACTGCACACATGTTGATGAACATGTTTCATTAAGAACACAAATACCAAGCTCACTGACCTCACACTCCCTCCCATAGTACAAGCTGTTTCACTGAAACCTTACAAGCTCACTGACCTCACACTCCCTCCCATAGTACAAGCTGTTTCACTGAAACCTTACAAGCTCACTGACCTCACACTCCCTCCCATAGTACAAGCTGTTTCACTGAAACCTTACAAGCTCACTGACCTCACACTCCCTCCCATAGTACAAGCTGTTTCACTGAAACCTTACAAGCTCACTGACCTCACACTCCCTCCCATAGTACAAGCTGTTTCACTGAAACCTTACAAGCTCACTGACCTCACACTCCCTCCCATAGTACAAACTGTTTCACTGAAACCTTACAAGCTCACTGACCTCACACTCCCTCCCATAGTACAAACTGTTTCACTGAAACCTTACAAGCTCACTGACCTCACACTCCCTCCCATAGTACAAGCTGTTTCACTGAAACCTTGCAAGCTTACTGACCTCACACTCCCTCCCATAGTACAAACTGTTTCACTGAAACCTTGCAAGCTTCCTGACTCCACACTCCCTCCCATAGTACAAGCTGTTTCACTGAAACCTTGCAAGCTTACTGACCTCACACTCCCTCCCATAGTACAAGCTGTTTCACTGAAACCTTGCAAGCTTACTGACCTCACACTCCCTCCCATAGTACAAGCTGTTTCACTGAAACCTTGCAAGCTCACTGACCTCACACTCCCTCCCATAGTACAAACTGTTTCACTGAAACCTTGCAAGCTTACTGACCTCACACTCCCTCCCATAGTACAAACTGTTTCACTGAAACCTTGCAAGCTTACTGACCTCACACTCCCTCCCATAGTACAAGCTGTTTCACTGAAACCTTGCAAGCTTACTGACCTCACACTCCCTCCCATAGTACAAACTGTTTCACTGAAACCTTGCAAGCTTACTGACCTCACACTCCCTCCCATAGTACAAATTGTTTCACTGAAACCTTGCAAGCTCACTGACCTCACACTCCCTCCCATAGTACAAACTGTTTCACTGAAACCTTGCAAGCTTCCTGACCCCACACTCCCTCCCATAGTACAAGCTGTTTCACTGAAACCTTGCAAGCTTACTGACCTCACACTCCCTCCCATAGTACAAGCTGTTTCACTGAAACCTTGCAAGCTTACTGACCTCACACTCCCTCCCATAGTACAAACTGTTTCACTGAAACCTTACAAGCTCACTGACCTCACACTCCCTCCCATAGTACAAGCTGTTTCACTGAAACCTTGCAAGCTCACTGACCTCACACTCCCTCCCATAGTACAAGCTGTTTCACTGAAACCTTACAAGCTCACTGACCTCACACTCCCTCCCATAGTACAAACTGTTTCACTGAAACCTTGCAAGCTCACTGACCTCACACTCCCTCCCATAGTACAAGCTGTTTCACTGAAACCTTACAAGCTCACTGACCTCACACTCCCTCCCATAGTACAAGCTGTTTCACTGAAACCTTACAAGCTCACTGACCTCACACTCCCTCCCATAGTACAAGCTGTTTCACTGAAACCTTGCAAGCTTACTGACCTCACACTCCCTCCCATAGTACAAACTGTTTCACTGAAACCTTGCAACCACTCCCCCCCCCTCCCCCACCTTGGCTTAGGGATAACCTGCCAACAGTCAGAAACACTGTAACAGGGATCACCTCTAAATCACCAGTGAGCAGCACTGATATGAAGTGAATAATAGATGGAGAGATCAACAGACTTTATCCACACCAGAGTTGGATTCGAGTGTATACAGATGGTTTAGCCAAGAGAGCAATAAGAGACGGAGGAGGAGGAATATACATAGAATGCTCAAATGATTTAAAAATTAACCAAGCTGTACCAACAGGTTTTTATTCCTCCAATTACAGAGGAGATGCAGAAGCACTTCTGGTGACATATTCTTTCCTGAATGGACAACAGCACAGCAAATATAGCAGAGTGGTCTTTCTGACTGATGCTATGTCAGCTCTAGAAGCAACTGTTAACCCAAAAGACATGCAACTTGACGCAACAGTTAATTCACTTAGGCTCTTCAGTAGAACAATCTGTACTGCAGTGGATTCCAGGTCACTGTGTCACTGTAGCTTGGAAGGCAATTAAATAGCGGACAGATTGGCCAGAAGTGGCAATGACATGGTACAACGAAATAGTGACTTAACCCACCAAGAGACGAAAACATTAAAACAATCTAGTCTCCAATAAAGGTGGCTGGATACCCATTCCAGATTCTCTTATCAAGACTCCTTCATCGACTCTTTAGAGAGGGACAATATGAAATATATAACATAATGTATTATATTCAGACTATGACAGGGCACAACAGACTTCGTCAACATATGTACAAATTTTTCAGTGTACGAAACACGGAGACGTGCCCCTGCAGCGTGGCAACCGAAAATGCTGAGCACGTGCTCTAGTACTGTCAACTGTATGCTGGCAACAGAGACGCAATCTGGCCTGTTCCAACTACAATAAAGACAAAACTGTATGGTACAAGAGAGGATATGGATTGCACGATAGCTTTCATAAAGGCTGCTGGCCTCCTGATATAAGTTGTCTGACTGTAGGATCGAAGAAGAAAATAACAACAAACACAATGTTTTTTTGCTGTAATGCTCACAATACATACCTTGTCAATGAACCGATGGTACCTTTAAACCTCACAAGTTCATCTGTAAGCCTCAAGTCTAGAGCTCTTTGGGCAATCACTTCTTCATGCAGGCTAAACATCAGTAACAAAAACAATGAAGTGCTGTAATCTTATTTCAGTAGATTTGTAACAACTCACTGTTATTCATTCATTCATTGTATGTTACATAGGACTTGTAGTCTATTTCTCCATTCTGTTCTATCTTTAGCAATCACTATATCACAGATGAAATCCGGTCCAGATCTTTGGCTACTCTCATCAACGTTTGCCATAAGGTTTGTCTTGGACATTCTCGTCTCCTCAATCTCCCTATTTCCCATTTCAGTGCCTGTTTGGTAATTCTCTGTCCCTTCTCAGGATGTGTCCAATATAGCAACATCTTCTCTGTTCTAAAACTGTTAATACTAGTGGTTGCCCATTTGCTGATTCTCTGTCTCTTCTCAGGGCGTGACCAATGTAGCACCATCTTCTCTGTTCTAAAAATGTTGATACTAGTGGTTGCCCAGACCTTTTGTATTTTTTTTTGGGAAGGGGGGGGGGTATTTATTCCCAATTGTATATCCATCTCACCTTTCCCCTGAGTCAAGTGTCGACCAGATCCCCTTGTAACTCCTTGCAGTGCCATTCTTCTCAGACTGTATTGATCTATCTGTTCCTCAGCACAGTTCACTTGCTCCCAAAGAGCCCTCACAACATCCAGCTTGTCATACATAAGTTCACCACAAAGTGGTGCAGAACCGGTCAGTCTATCTGCTTGCTCATTTCCCAACACACCGGCATGCCCTGGAAATTTTTTGTTTTTTAACCAATATGCCAATAAGACTTAACAAAGACAACATATAAAAAACATTGCTAACCTCATGATCTGTTCTGGCACTTTATTCAGGAGCTGGTGATACTTAGCCCAGACAAGATGCAACAGTTCTCCTCTTTCAGCACACTCAACTGTAATCTGGTTACATCAGAATGTTTTATGCACAACGTTTTATATGAGTCCAAGAAAACTACTGTCATGGTTCTAGATCAGGGACAGACAAGCAAAGTTGAATGTTGAATTAAGAATTGACATCATAGCACTCCAGATACTCCCATAAGCGCTCCAACACCATCGTCAGCGGCAGGTGAAGTGTTCCAATTCCCATGGCACCAGTAACTTTCTGACTGTATATCCATCTCACCTTTCCCTTGAGTGTTGAGCGTTGGTAAGTACCCCTGGTAATTTCCTGCAGATCTGTTTGTGCCTCCACATTGTTCACTCACTTCCAAAGGGCCCTCACAACTTCTAGCTTGTCCCACATCAATTCACCACCAAGTGGTGCAGAAATGGCCAGCCTATCTGTCTGTTCACTTCCCAACACACCAGTATAACCTGTAGAAAATATCCAAAGGGCGCTAACTATCCAAGACCTAAGAAGCGATGCTTGTCACTCTGCACGGAGCATGCCTGACTCAAAGTTTCTCAACTTACTCTGTGAGACAAACATTAGTTAGTCATTAGTCGAGGTTCTTTCTAATTCTTCTTTGTTCACTGGCTGAAAGCTCCAGTGGAAAGTCCTGGTTGTTTGTCCATTTGGACTTTGTTCCAGGGCCAGGGTTTTGCGAGTGCATCTATTTTACAGTTTAGCGGCTAGATGCTCAGCTGCAGATCAGAGGGTCATGGGTTCAGTTCTTGATGGGGGCCGGACTTTTTTCAAAAATAACCTTGGCTTCCAGGTCGACCCAGCCTTGACTGATTACCAGGTACAGTCCTGCGAAGTAAAGGCAGCTGGTCTGAAGCTGACCACATTACCCACCAAGTGCCGTTTGGTCTAGCCCTATGTACCCAATACACCTGAAAGGTGTGGAAAAGAAACCTTTTTGTTTATTTATCCATTTTACTGGCTTATTTGTGTGCAGCTGGTTATTCTTTGCCACTCAGGCAGATGCACTCTGACTTCAAAGGAAACTCCCAATTAGTCAGCATCTACGGCATGCTTTTTTTTTGGGGGGGGGGGGGGGGGGCGGAGGCAGTGGGTCGATTCTTGTTTTCCCCACAATGGGGTCCTGAAACCCACAAGGGGAGTCGAGATGGGTTGCTCTGTAACTGCTCCCTTCCTTCACACAAAATATCCTTCAGTGTCCCGCATGAATACATATCCTAGCAGAATCTTGAAGCTTGCATGTGAAAAGTAAATGCATAAGGCAGTCATCAGATGTGCCATCACTAACAGTCCTGCACGAGAATTTCAGCTCACTGTTGATGCAAGCAGTCAGCTGTAAAAGCCAACATTGTTCACGCAATACTGCACAAGCATCCGCCACTCCGAACATAATCAGCAACCACAGTTTTTTGGTGCAGTTCACAACACGAAGCCATAGTGGGGACAAAAGAGACAAAACTGCACATGAAGTCCCCAGATCCAAGTATTGCACCAAGCACTATTTCAGGCCCATAGGCATGTTGGGTATATAGTGCTAGACCTATATTTTATAGTTCAACTGGCACTCAGTGGGTGATGTGGTCAACATCATGCTAGCTGCCTTTATTTCCTAGAGCTTTACCTACTACAAATTTTAGGCTGGGTCAACCTGGTAGACGAGGTCATTTGAAACAAAAATCTGGCTCAATGCATATTTGAATCTATGATATTGAGGTCCTCAGGCGAGCGACACCATAGGTGTTTAAAAAGAAAATGTTATTCCTCATAGTGCAACTTCAAAGTCTGGTAAGCTGTTTGTTATAAAATCAGTGATTCCTCATAGTGCTACATCACAGTCTGGTAAGCTGTTTGTTATAAAATTAGTGATTCCCTATAGTGTTACATCACAGTCTGGTAAGCTGTTTGTTATAAAATTAGTGATTCCCTATAGTGCTACACCACAGTCTGGTAAGCTGTTTGTTATAAAATTAGTGATTCCTCATAGTGCTATATCACAGTCTGGTAAGCTGTTTGTTATAAAATTAGTGATTCCTCATAGTGCTACATCACAGTCTGGTAAGCTGTTTGTTATAAAATTAGTGATTCCCTATAGTGTTACATCACAGTCTGGTAAGCTGTTTGTTATAAAATTAGTGATTCCCTATAGTGCTACACCACAGTCTGGTAAGCTGTTTGCTATAAAATTAGTGATTCCTCATAGTGCTACATCACAGTCTGGTAAGCTGTTTGTTATAAAATTAGTGATTCCTCATAGTGCTACATCACAGTCTGGTAAGTTGTTTGTTATAAAATTAGTGATTCCTCATAGTGCTACATCACAGTCTGGTAAGCTGTTTGTTATAAAATTAGTGATTCCTCATAGTGCTACATCACAGTCTGGTAAGCTGTTTGTTATAAAATTAGTGATTCCTCATAGTGCTACATCACAGTCTGGTAAGCTGTTTGTTATAAAATTAGTGATTCCCTATAGTGCTACACCACAGTCTGGTAAGCTGTTTGTTATAAAATTAGTGATTTCTCATAGTGCTACATCACAGTCTGGTAAGCTGTTTGTTATAAAATTAGTGATTCCCTATAGTGCTACACCACAGTCTGGTAAGCTGTTTGTTATAAAATTAGTGATTTCTCATAGTGCTACATCACAGTCTGGTAAGCTGTTCGTTATAAAATTAGTGATTCCTCATAGTGCTACATCACAGTCTGGTAAGTTGTTTGTTATAAAATTAGTGATTCCTCATAGTGCTACATCACAGTCTGGTAAGCTGTTTGTTATAAAATTAGTGATTCCTCATAGTGCAACGTCTAAGTCTGGTGATCTGTTTGTTATGAAATCAGTGATTCCTCATAGTTCTAAATGATCAACTGGTGAAGTATTATAAAAATCAGTCCAGAAAAGTAATTTCAATTTCAGTTATTACACGAATGTCGGAAAAAGTGTCTTGGATACACTGCAGTGTATTTAAGTGAAACACACACACACACACACACATACAGGCTCCCATGCACGTACACACACACTTGCATGCACACACGTACGCACTCACAATCACACACACACACAAAAGGACAGCAAGACAGCAACGCACAGCGAATATTACCTGTCTAATGAGCTCATTAAACACAACATTGTAAATATTCTGCTCCTTCTTGATCAGATTCAGCAAATTATGCATCTGAAAATTAAACCCCCCAACAATTTTTAAAAGAACATAAAAATCGTAGACATTAATTCAATTAACTGTGATTAAGAAGCTTAACAAAAGGTTTTAGTCAATAAAGGCTGCTGCCGAAACGTCAGATTGTTCTTATTTGTGTGTTTTCCACTTCTTACCTTTGTTAATCTGTTTAGTCCCCACAGTTCAATGGGTTCACTGTGTGACCACATGCTCCCATGGGTACCAAGATCAAATCTAAATAACTTTGTCAAATAAAGTATGATCAGTTGAAGAGTTAATTAATAGAGCTTGGCAAGAAAGCTAAGCAAATTCCAAGGAATCAAGAGGTGAGGAAAAGACGATGATGTTGGATAGGATACATTTTAATAAAATCTTGTTTCTATATAAATGAAATGTCTCTGCAATGGAATCCACAGAGTAAAGAGAATAAAGGCAACCCCCCCCCCCCCCCCCCCCCCCCCCCACCCCCCCCCCCCCCCCCCCCCCCCCCCCCCCAAACATGAAGACGTGAACCAGAGAATAAAGTGAAAAAAGATGCAGATGATACAGGGTGAGCTGCATGCGGTAGCAAAGGATAGGACAATGTGGCATGAGTTGGTTGATGGCCTATGCTCCCCTGTAGGATTTGGGCAGAAATAAGAGGAAATACAAGTACTACCTGGGTTGGCCCACTCAAATCGTCCTTTCCTAAATCATTGACTCCTGCCCTGTCCATCATACTTTCAAATGCATTTCTCAGCTTAATCACTTCAAAACGGCTGGTTGGATTCCTATGGGAGAAACAGTACAAACACGGATTATAAACTGAAGGGTAAAGGACAAACAATACAAACATGGATTATGAACTGAAGAGTAAAGGACAGTCAATAAAAACATGGATTATGAACTGAAGAGTAAAGGACAATCAATACAAACATGGATTATGAACTGAAGAGTAAAGGACAAACAATACAAACATGGATTATGAACTGAAGAGTAAAGGACAAACAATACAAACATGGATTCTGAACTGAAGAGTAAAGGACAAACAATACAAACATGGATTATGAACTGAATAGTAAAGGACAAACAATACAAACATGGATTATGAACTGAAGAGTAAAGGACAAACAATACAAACATGGATTATGAACTGAAGATTAAAGGATCCTTTTCCATACCTTCATGTGTACTGGGCATATAGGGCTAGACCTATATTTTATAGAGCAGTCAGCATCAGAGGGTGAGGTGGCAACATCAAGCCAGCCACCTTTACTTCCCTGGACTGCCCGATATCCATTTAAGGTAGGTGGAACTATGTGATATGGACATTTTGTTTGTTCAATGTCTGGCTCCGTCAGGACCTAAACCAATAACCTTCAGATCCACAGGTGAGTGTCAAGCCACCACACCACAGTGACTCCCAAATTGAAGAGTAAACTAAAATGTCATCATGTCTCCATCCAAACATGGGACCCAATTTTTTTAAATAAAAATTTTCATTTTATAAATTTTGAAGCTCACCCTGGATGGAGTTGGGAACCCTAATATAACCTAACAGCTAAACAGGGTTTCTGGGACTTGTGATCGGGGAATTCTCATCTAAAATAGTGGCAATTTGTATCACGAGCTGTTTATGGCTTATTTTAGGGTCATAGGAGGTCGGAGGTCACTCGAGGCTCAGTAGCACAACTCATGTTTCTTTAGATCAGTCAGTCGGCTCTCGATGGGTGATGGGGGTCAACATCACACCAGTGACTTTTTTTTTTACTTCCTAGGACATTTCCTTGTATCTATTTTGGGTTGGGTTGACTGGCAGTCAATGTCAGTCCTTGTGGATTTGAACCCTAAACCTTCGGGAAAAGCATCTAACCACCATTAGGTGTACAAGACTGCAAACAAAGCATGTTGAGGAAGACGGAGACAGGGATGCTCCATGTATCGCTACCTAGGTAGTTAACCTCTTTTGGATATGTTCTCCAGGGCATGCTCGTGTGTTGGGAGACAGACTGGTTCTGCGCCACCTGGTGGTAAGTTAATGCAAGATGAGCTAGATGATGTAAGGGCCTTTTGGGAGTGAGTGAACAGTACGGAGACACAAATAGATCATCAAATGGATGCAGTAAAGACCAGGGGATCTGGTCGACACTCAATACTCGGGAAAGGGGGTAGAAGGATATACAATCAGACTGTTACTGGTGCCAACGGAACTGCAACTCTTTGCTTGCTGCTGAAGATGGGGATAGAGCACTTATGGGTATGTCCTGAGTACTGTGACGATTCTTAATTCAACATTCCATCTAGCCACTGCTCTACTATGGCTCCCCACCTCCTATAAGAATTCAGAATTTATCAAACACAAATTAAAATCTGGGCCATTGGACCACCCAAACAGTTTGTGGGACACTGATAAGGGCTTCCAGTGCATTATACTGTTTATGTGCAGACTTTTTTTTTAAAATGACTAGTTAGAGTTTGCAGCTAAATATTTGTACAGGGTGACATAGCCAGTCAATAATAGTCACGCTGATCCCCATTAGTCGTCTTTTATAATGGCCATGGCCATTGAGTTAACCGTATGTGTCGATTCCTCCCCACCAAATATATGGTTGACACATTCCGTTTCTGGGGACAGCTTTTATCGAGTTTGCTCTCTAGACAGTTGCAGTCCCCTGCTGACGAGATTCTGTCTTCCCGAGTGGACCGCCGCGATCAAAACATTGCGAAGGCAGCGTGGTCGAGGCTGCCAAAACTATCGGTCATTATCCCGCCCCGACACAGCACAACCACAATACACGCTGTTCCCACGTGTCTTTTATAATAAATGTGGTGGGTTACAGCGTTATTATTATTTTAAATAAAGCAGGGAAAAATAGCATTACTGCACAATTATTGCCTGGCATTTTGTGATGTATCTTGTCAGGTGTACTTTTACACGGTTACGTCAACTTATAATGAAGCACAACAGAACTCAATTTATCCCACTGAAATACACATATCACATTGTCTCTTCTCGAAATATTGTCTTACCTGGGAAGTTTAAAATAGTTGCTGTCTATCAGGGAAATTCTGAATTTATCATAAGCTTCTTTTGATCACAAAAAGTGGCATTGTTCATATTTATTGTTAAAACTTTGGCCAGTTTTAGTAAGCACCTGTTTGGTGTGCAGCAATTAACACTGAAATATTCAGATCACATTGTCTCTTTTTGATACATTGTCTTACCTGAAAAGTTCAAAATAGTCGCTGCCTACCAGGGAAATTCTGAATTTATCCTGAGCTCCTTTTGTTTACACAAAGTGGCATTGTTCATTTTTATTGTTAAAACTTAGGCCAGTTTGAGTGAGCACCTGTTTGGTGTGCGGCAGCTAACACTGTAGACACAGTACTTCTAATGCACGTGCTCGGAGTCAAGTAAATGACTTATTATTATTATTATCTGTTTCCCCTATGGGCCCTACAAAAACACAGATAAGTATATTTAGCATAGTGATTGATTCAAGGTATTGAACAAGTTCAGCCAGTTTACTAATTAATATATAACATAATTTGATTATATAGAGCCAGTCTTGCTGTATGGGGATGACAAAATGTATGGTTTCTTCACTTAGAGTGAAAGTGTTGTGATGCTATACCATACAAGGCATACACCAAAAAAAGGTGAGAGATGTAGAACAAGGGTTAGACTAAGAACAAGAAGGAAAAATAACAGTGAAACTCTATAAGAGCCTGACATATCTATAGTGATAATATTTAATAACTTAAGTAAAATAAGTAAAGGACCCTTTTCCATGTCTTAGGCATATTGGGTATATAGGGCTAGACCTATATTTTATAGACAAAACGATACTTGGTGGATGATGTGGTCAGCATCACGCCGGCTGTCTTTACTTCCCAGGACTGTACTTGGTACCCACTGAAGGCTGGGTCGACCAGGGAGCAAGGGTCATTTTTTTTTTTTAAGTCAGGAACCAAACCCTCGACCTTCCAATCTCCAGGCGAGCTTCTAGCCACTACACCATGCCGGCTCCCTTTTAATACTTATGTACATACAGTAAATGGATGTTGTAAGTTAACTGCTGAATAAAATTTTAAAAATATGAATATGTGTTACTTACATGGATGGAAATAAAACAAAATGCTTTTCATGGTCCACAGGCTGTGTGCTATATTTACTGTTGAAATAAAAGGATCACATATGGAACAGATTTGTAAACTAAATATACATCAAATATCTAAGAAATTATTAAACATAGTTATTGAGCCTTTCCTCTTGTGCCTAGGGTGACGCAAAGGGCAGAGGCCATAGCTCTCCATGTCTGGCGATTCGTTACCATTTGTCTTAGACTGTTGATCTATGACACGATAAGCCTCCATTGTAAAACATCCTTTGTTTTAGAATCAGATTTCTAGCTCTAAGTGTTATTAACCACTGCACCAAGTTTTATATTTGCATCTATTCATTATTATTAATATTATATTATTGAAGATAATTTAGATTAACAACAGCCGAAAGATAACTGTAGGTCAATGTTTTATGTTTTCCGATGGTGGGTCAAGGATTGAATTACACTATGCTTGTTGTATTGATTATAGCAAAGCATTTAATTGTGTCCAACACCACAAACTGTGGACTATTATGAAAAGTATGGGGTTTCCAGTGCAATTAGTGCATTTAATAAAAAATTTTATCATAAACAACAAGCAGCCACCAGGGCAGCTGGTGAAACATGTGATTGGTTCAAGGTGCAAAAGGGGGCAGGGCAGGGGTGCATACTGTCACCACACCTATTCAATATATACTCAGAAAATATAATGAGCAATGTCAAAAATGACCAGACTTGTGTCATTTATGATCCGCTCAAAATTGGTGGCAACCATATTCCAGAACTCCGCTATGCAGATGACACAGTCCTCCTTTCGAACAGCGAAAAGAAAATTTAATATTGTCTGTCCAAAAGCACAGTGAATATCAAAATCTGTTCTTGAATTTAAAGAAAATGAAAATAATGTCCACAGATAAAACTGGCTGTCACCCAAAAAAAAGCAATAAATGATGAAGAAATTGAAAATGTCACAAACTTTGAATATCTAGGCTCTATAATAAACAGCAATGGAGACTGTTCAACAGAAATTAAAAGGAGGATGGAAATAGCAATGCAAAGATTGAACAGCCTTAAAAGTTTATGGTTAAGCACCAGCAGGGAGATAAAAATTTGAATTTTGAGAGCATGCATCCTTCCTGTGGCTACATACGGATGTGAGTCGTGGACTATCTCTCAGTCCTTAAGGGGCTTTTGCTATAGAAAGATTCTCAGAGTATCTTGGACAAAGAAGAGGAGAAATATTGACATTTTAACAGATCTCAACATAAAGAAGATTGGCTAATAAACAGCATCCTTTCTCAGAAACTGAAATATTTTGGTCATATCAAGTGTCACAATGGATTGGAAAAAATTATAGCAGAAGGCATGGTACCAGGAAGGAGGGGCAGGGGCCGACCAACACGAAGATGGGCACATCTATTTGCCCCATGCCTCCTCACAGCCCAATATAACACACTGTCGTCTGGAAAGATGGAAAGGTGCCAGTCAATCAATGTTACATCAATACTAAACATAAATCTTATTTTCTTCTTCTTCACTTTCTCTTGTATCATTATCTGTCAAGGAATATGCATACGGTTCTGGTGCTTGCTTTTCTGGGTGCCTCAGCCATAGATATGTCAGGCTCTTGTAGAGTTTCACTGTTATTTTTCCTTCTTGTTCTTAGTCTAACCCTTGCTCTACATCTCTCACCTTTTTTTGGTGTATGCCTTGTATGGTATAGCATCACAACACTTTCACTCTAAGTGAAGAAACCATACATTTTGTCATCCCCATACAGCAAGACTGGCTCTATATAATCAAATTATGTTATATATTAATTAGTAAACTGGCTGAACTTGTTCAATACCTTGAATCAATTACTTTTCTTTTTTTTTTCCTTTATAACAAAAAGTTACTGATAACAACCTCAAGGATCGGCTGGCCAAACTGTTAGAACACTGGGCTCTCAAGCAAGAGACCCGGATTTGAAAACTCGGTAAGGGTGGGGATTTTTTCTGTGGGGTGGGGAGGGGGAAGGAATAAAATCCTCGCCTGCACAGTCGTGGTGACAGCACGACAGCACTAGCTATGCAGCCGTAAATCCTCGGGCTCAAAGACCCCCTGCCTACACAACAAAAGTGGTAGAATACAGGCAGTAATTGGCAGTTGGCAGATAACTCCACTGAAACTGAGACATGGCCTCAATAGTTTCTGTTTGTCCATTTTTCCCCTGCCAGTTGCTACCTGAATGTCTAATCACCATGTGACTCAAAGAGTTGCATCCTGAATGACAATCAAACAGGGCTAAATTCAGATACTGAGTTCAATCTCCTACAAAAATTAGGACACTTGTAGCAGCGATATCTTGATGTACTTTACTGACCAATGTAGGTAAGGATATTCTGATGAAGAGTTTCACCAGACACTGCACAACCATTTCAAGACAATAGAATCCTCACACAATGTAACACCAGACACTGCACAACCATTTCAAGACAATAGAATCCTCACACAATGTAACACCAGACACTGCACAACCATCTCAAGACAATAGAATCCTCACACAATGTAACACCAGACACTGCACAACCATTTCAAGACAATAGAATCCTCACACAATGTAACACCAGACACTGCACAACCATTTCAAGACAATAGAATCCTCACACAATGTAACACCAGACACTGCACAACCATTTCAAGACAATAGAATCCTCACACAATGTAACACCAGACACTGCACAACCATCTCAAGACAATAGAATCCTCACACAATGTAACACCAGACACTGCACAACCATTTCAAGACAATAGAATCCTCACACAATGTAACACCAGACACTGCACAACCATCTCAAGACAATAGAATCCTCACACAATGTAACACCAGACACTGCACAACCATCTCAAGACAATAGAATCCTCACACAATGTAACACCAGACCCTGCACAACCATTTCAAGACTATAGAATCCTCACACAATATAACACCAGACCCTGCACAACCATTTCAAGACTATAGAATCCTCACACAATGTAACACCAGACACTGCACACCCATCTCAAGACAATAGAATCCTCACACAATGTAACACCAGACACTGCACAACCATCTCAAGACAATAGAATCCTCACACAATGTAACACCAGACACTGCACAACTATCTCAAGACAATAGAATCCTCACACAATGTAACACCAGACACTGTACACCCATCTCAAGACAATAGAATCCTCACACAATGTAAATACTCTGCTTTGGATATATTTTTTAATACTTAAGAAAGCAGACTTTCATCTTTATTGTTTAACCATACCTCTAAATCACATTCTCTTTTCTTCACCTTATGTTACTCACGACACTTTTGTGATCAGATTTTGATGGAAAAATCAGGGACAGAGCAGATGAGAATTCTCTACTGAAAAACAAGAACATCTTACTCTTCGAGGTAATGTATGCCAACAACTCCCTTGTTCTTCACAATGTGGTACTCTTCAGGGATGATGGAATCTGGCACAACCAGTGGCTAGGGACACAATTCCATGTTTAATATTGGGAAATGTTAATAGTCAAGAAAAGTAACTTTTTTCTTTTACAGGCTTAAGCTGCATTTGTACAAATACGGAGCTATATGGCACTTTAAAATGTAAAGTGACTTTATTTTAGCCAAAAAAACTTTAAGTGAATTTAAAAAAGTAAAGCCATGAAATGTATACTGTATAACTAAATTTCAGTGACTATACTACAACTTGATGCTGTTGACAAAGTTTACTATTATTATCAATACTACACTTATTTCTGTCAGTTAAATGATGTGTGAATGGAAGAAGATTTGAAAGAATGGTTCTTTCGCAATATCCTACCCCAGATGACAGGACAGTACAACATTTTCGAGGAAGGTGAGACTGGGTTTCCCGGCATTCTGATGCTTTTAATGACCCCAAAACATCTAGAACTGGCCCTAAACCCAACCCACCTTCATCTCACGAGAGAGTGCAGCCTGGGTCCCACGACTGCATGCAGTCTAGATCCCACAACTGCATGCAGCCTATCTACCACCCCCTAAAATATTAGACTGGCCCGTGACCTGTGGATTTTCCCTGTTTGGGGTAGGATATTAAAAAAGCACCCAAAGAAATGAGGCTAAAACGGCAAAATGTAAGATGGGCCTGTGTGTCGAATTCTTAACCCTTCAAAAATATAGTTTACTTATTTGTTCATTCATTCATTCATTCATTTTTTCATTCATTCATTCATTTTCTCTCTCTTTTTTCCTCCATCTCCCTCTCTCATTCTCTCCTTCAAGGTGGTATAAGATTCTCCCCAGGAATGCAGGGTTTTTCTTCTTTACATCCTCTTTTACTATTGTAAGGGTTTTCTTTAAAAATGTATCTGTGCTCCTGTGTCAACCCAACCTACAGAATTCCTTAGAAGTCTTAGTCTTAGTCGAGGTTTCAACTTCACTGCGATCACATTTCCCCATATTTGTTCCATTCCTGTGCCAGTCAAAATCAAATGAAATGTCCCTCAATGACTCCTTTGAAAAACTGGGGAACAAATAATTAGTCCCTGAACAATCCAGAAATATGTGCACGCAGTAAATGCAAATTGCACTTGCTAGAGATGCCAAAGCCAACAGTCACCACCAGAAATGCAGTTTTTCATTGATGGAAGCAGTCGGGCACGATAACTTGGCTATACACATGTAGAATTATTACTTAAGGTATTTTCCCAGCTCACACAGAAACCTTCTACCGGTCGTATTGAATACCAAAAAAGTAACTAAGGTAAGTAAGGTTAATGTTAAGTGAGTGGTTGTCATAGGGGCCTCAGAACTTCCCTTGCAAGCCTCAGTAGCACACAGGTAGTAAATTTCCTAGGGTAAGAAATATGGTCAGGCAGGAGGTATAACAGGTCACCTCTATACGCCTTGATGGAGTATATGTCTTCTTCATCTTCTTCCCATTCACAGGCTGAAAACTCCGGCAGAAAGTTCTGGTTGTTTGTCCAACTCCGGACTTTAGTATTGTTCCGGAAGAACCTGAGTATTGCATGCACATCCGTTTAACAGATCTGGTTAAACTGTAGGCAGATTTATGGTTCCTTGCCTCTCAGCCAGATGCACTCTGACTTCGAAGGAAGAGCCCAATTGGTCGACATTTATGACATGCTTGGTGGGGAGGCAGTGGGTCTGTTCTCATTTTCCCTACAATAGGGCCCTGGAACTCACATTGTGAGTAGTGTATATGATGACTTAATCCTACCAGACCGCTGGCCTGATTTTTCGGCTATTTGCGTAGTGCTTGAAAAAGATGCGTCACAGACTAAAAAAAACTAGCCAATTATCATCAGACCTCATGGATAGTCTTTCTAGATGTCCACCCGCATGTGTTTGGATTAAATTTGTGTTGTTTTACGTGAAAAAAAATTCCGAAAATTCACAATAAAACGAGCAGCTGAAAAACCAAGCACTTCGACAGGAAAGTGAAGTAGGTCTAGGCTTTTTACAGTTCAACAGGTGATGAATACTTTGGTTTATTCAGACTGTGTGGAGTCATAATTTCATGAAGAATACGTTTATAGTTGAAGTGAGAGAGCTCGAATCATGAGGAGAATCTTGAAAATTATAAATCTAGAAATAGATTGATAGTAGGAGAAGGGGGCGTGCCCCTCAAACAGCAACATCTGGTATTCACTTTGTGAAACAAGGCTGATCCTGCTGGGTGGATTGGCAAACAAAGGTGGAATACTGGAGCTGGATGAAAGGTTAACCTATTTTCTACAATGTCTCCAAGTTTCAGCTTATTCTAACCATTTGTTTGCATGTAATTAATATTTTTGTATATCATGTTGATTTTTTTGCGTTAATGCCCAGGAGCTCAGGTATAGGGGGCAGTTAGGTTCAGGGCCTCAGGTCTGGTAGGGTTAACAATACCTTCCCCTACTGAGGTAACTAGCATGTGTATACATCTACCAGGTTTTTTCCTAAGAAATAGTTGCCAGTGTTCACCCTAAAGTGTCTATTTCAGTAGCGATGAAAATAATTATGCCTACCATGTAACGTTACCCTGGCACACATACCACAATCTTAGCCAAACAACTGACACAAATAACATGCAGTGAACATGGTCAATGTTTTTCTTCTTTTTAAAACAGATACGGATATGTAACACTGTGAAAAACAAAACAAAAACAACAAAAAAAGCCTCACCTCTACCTTACAAACAGATTGGATATGAACCCATACTAAATCATAGAAAATAATAATGGAATTATTCAATAAAAGCTCAGATCAACACAAATATAGTTTATTTATTTAGTGTTTGTTTTTTGAAATGTGAAAATGGTACCTTGCTGATGTTTGCCTCCTTCTCTAGCCTCACATAGCTCTGGTCTGCAGTGTCAGGTTTTGGAGGATGAGGTGCATGGTGAGGTACATCATATAAGAATGAGATGTCTCTAGTAATTTTAAAAAGAAAAAAAAAATTAATTAAAAATAAAACATCACAAGACTGAACTGGCTGGAAGCCTAGTAATCAACATTTGATTATATTTAGACATCAGAAAGTGTTGTTGTTATTGTTGTTGTTGTTATCGATCCAGCGGCGCATGAGCTTTCGCCCTTTGGCCCAATGCCATGTAGTGGAATTTGCATGTTTTCACAAGCTGTTCTTTTCCTCCGTACAAGGTGTTCCACTTGTCTGGTCTCGGAGGGAGTAGCGTTCTTCTTGTCTCACTGAGTTTTGGGCACTTAAAGAGATGGTGTTCAACAGTTTCGTAGGGGTAGTTACATAGCTGGCACTCTGGGGAGTGTTGTGGCTGTATTCTGTTTAGGTGTCCATTGAGTGGAGTATGTTGCGTTCTAAGTCTGCCGTACTGCCCCCTGTGGGAGGGAAGGAACCAGAGGTGTGCTGAACAGTCTTAGGAATGGAAACAAGTATGCTAACCCCCCTGAATACCGGAAACTATCGTGAAGGCACAGGGACTCAGGACGTGACGATCCAGTTGCCCCAACTACTCATGCTTAGGCCATGCTTAGAGACATGAAGAGCTCAGCGAAACCTGCAGGCAATCTGGTGGCGGGGAATGAGAACACTGTGAGCCCCACCTTAGCTACGTGTTAAAGGGGAAGGCAGAAACACAACCCATATTTCCTTTAGAACTGGTACAGGGCATTTCTAGCTGCTGCCCGGGGAGGTAGGTAATCCACAGACACCCCAGCACCACAATGCCATGAATATGTCACATCAGAAAGTGAAGGCTGGCAAGCTGTGTGAAGAGTGGCAAGCATCACTTCAGAGGTATTTGACAATTAGTGTCCTTTGGATCTTTTCACCAGGGTGTGCAGAGATGTTGAGTCAGGCCCACAGATTGGCTGGTGCTTCACCACTGGTTGGTTAACTGATGCACGACAAGCTAGAGTGGTCAAGGGCCAGGGGGAGCAAGTGAACAATGTAGAAGCATGAACAGATCATTTTGCAGTGGAGAGAATGATGCAGCAAGGGGGGATTCGGTCACACATAGGAAAGTAAAGTAAAGGACCCTATTCCAGCCTTTAGGCGTATTGGGTATATAGGGCTAGACCTATATTTTATAGAACAATCGGCACTAGGTGGATGATGTGGTCAGCATCATGCTGGCTGCATTTACTTCCCAGGACTGCACCTGGTACCCACTCAAGGCTGGGTCGACCTGTGAGTCAAGGTCATTTTTGAAAAAGTCTGGGCTCCGTCAGGTCTCGAACCCACGACCTTCTGATCCCTAGGTGGGCGTCTAGCTGCCAATGCCACAGTGACTCCCACTCATAGGGAAGGCAAGACAGATATATAATCAAACTGCAACTGGTACCATTGAAATCGAAACTTTTCACCGGCGGCTGAAGATAAGGATAGAGTGCTAATGGAAATTTTCTGAGTACTATGATGTCCATTTTTAACTTAACAGAGTAGAAGATAGAAAAATAAACTCAAATTAACCTACAAAAATCACGAAAAGAACAAACTATCAAGACTAAAACATAAAAAAAAACTAGTAGGAAACCAGAGCAGAGGAGTTCAAAGAAAGCATTATGTGCCAAGTGACTTTGAGCAAAGACTTGTCACACATCACCACCACACATTATCATTAGTCCCAGATTTGATCTGAGTTCATGTCTTGATTAGGCCACATGGCCAGTTCATCGATACATTTTCTGTTTGTCTTCTCCTGATTCGTTTCCCATCAGGGTTGTCAGTTTTCATTAAGTTTTCAAGTTTATCCCATCTTATAAAATATCTAGGTCTGTGTCTAATTACTATGGTAGACAATTAAAAGATTCCTCTTCTTCCTCACTTCCTTTTTTTACAGCTGGGGTGTGTCAATGGAGATATAAGGTTCTGCTTCATGCTCTTCTAGCCACCTCGACCATAGACACATCGTGCTATTGTAGAGTTTCTCTCATGTTATCTCCTTCTTGGTCTACCTTGTGCTTTTCGTCCATCTCCTCTTTTGGTGTATGCTCTGTATGGTATGGTGCCAGAAGGCATTCTCCCGAAAAAAGGGCAAAATATTTGATTTGCTGTCTTAGAATATAAGACGATTGCACAAAGAAAAAAGCTAATCCTACACTTACTTCCCAGCTCCACAAATACATGGCGTGTTATCTAGAAGATGCTTGAAGCGATTTCTTCGCTTGTAATTCCATACACTTGCGGGTGGTGGACGACCAACATCCTGTATAATGTGAAGCCTTCATTCAATGTAATGCCACAAAATAATAACAGTTTTATATTTTAAAATCTCTAATAGTAAATAAAACATAAATAGATGAATAATCAAATGCAAATGGTGGCTGTGGACGACTGGCATCTTACATAACATTAAATCATCACTCACTCTACTGTCACAGAAACAGTGATAACAAACCTTACTGCATGTAGAGGGTGGGATATGGGGGTGGGTGGGGGGGGGGTGTCTTTGATAATGAAGATATAGTGCTGCATGGCTAGTGTAGCCGCCATTAATTATGCAGGTTAGGGTTTTATTTGTGCCCCGCCGACAGAAAACCCACAGCCTTACTGAGGATTCAAACCTGTGTCTTCCGCATAAGAGCCCAGTATTCTTAAAATGTTGGCCAGCCTCTCCTCATGGAAACAAGAATAGTTTTATAGCAAGTGTAAAAGAAACAACAACGTAAATCGATAAGTAGTTGTCAATGTGTCTATGCTGCAAATAAACTCAGATGCTGTCGACTGCTTTAAGACAACTAATTTTTATGAAAGCTTCCTAAATGTTTAACCCTTGTTTGTTTGTAGAGTATCATGCTCATTGCACATGTTAGGGGTTATGAGTTAAGAATTGACATAATAGCACATGGGACATTCCCATATTGGCCTCCATCCCCATCTTCAGCAGCAAGCATAGAATTCCAATTCCGATGGTACCAGTAACAGTCTAATTATATGTCCGTCTTACCCCTCCCTCCCAGTGTTGAGCATCAGCCAGATCCTATGGTCACTCCTCGTTGCGCCATTCTCATCAGACTATGATGGTCTAGTTGTGCCTCTGCGCTGTTTACACTTACAACAATTAGCTTGTTATGCACCAATTTACCACCACTGAACATGTATGTTTACCTAAGCACTGGGGTCTCTTTCTATATATCCCACATAGAGAATCTCAGCAGAGTGCACAAACCTTGCAGCATTGGTGAAGATCCCAATATGTAAATACAAGAATGTGGTGAACTGACTCTGATCCTAGGCAGGAGTAAAAGTTATGACTGTTGTTATGCACAGAAAAGGATACCCCCCACTTGGCCTCAGACATCACCAGGCACTTGGCTGGATATAAAGAACCTCAACCAGGACTCCATACATTCTTGCAGTGCACCAAATATAAATGACATGAACTAAACTAGCAAGGAATCTCATCAAAGACTCCATACATTCTTGCAGTGCACCAAATATAAATGACCTGAACTAAACTAGCAAGGAATCTCATCCAAGACTCCATACATTCTTGCAGTGCACCAAATATAAATGACCTGAACTAAACTAGCCAGGAATCTCATCCAAGACTCCATAAATTCTTGCAGTGCACCAAATATAAATGACCTGAACTAAACTAGCAAGGAATCTCATCCAAGACTCCATACATTCTTGCAGTGCACCAAATATAAATGACCTGAACTAAACAAGCAAGGAATCTCATCCAGGACTCCATAAATTCTTGCAGTGCACCAAATATAAATGACCTGAACTAAACTAGCAAGGAATCTCATCCAAGACTCCATACATTCTTGCAGTGCACCAAATATAAATGACCTGAACTAAACAAGCAAGGAATCTCATCCAGGACTCCATAAATTCTTGCAGTGCACCAAGTATAAATGGCACCTAAAGCTGCAGTAACCAACAACTTATATGTAGAAAAGCCTTGGTATACTAAATTACTTAGATCAGTTTTTCTGACCTTCAATCTGTGATTGGCCTATTTAACCCACACTGATTTTTTTACTACTCAAAGAAATAGAATTAAGTGCAGCTTTCACTTACTGCAGAAATTGCGTTTAACTCTTTTCTTCTAAATGAGGGTCCAAATGTCTCTTTGGTGCACATTGGCTGTGTGAGTGCAAACAAAATGTCCTTGGGTATAAAATCATTCTGGGCAGATATGGATTGCTGTTTTGGTTTCTCGATGCTAACAGTTGATGACCGAAGTTCAGGAAGCATGTCTGGTACTGAGATGAAAAATAAAAAACGCAATACAACTGAAATTACAAAATACTTTTAAAGACAGAATATAGTTTCTACTTCTTCCTCATTTGTCCAAGTGACATAAATGCGTTGCGCCCGTTTACAGTATAGCTGCAATATCTGCACTTTTCGGCTGACACATCCAACTTTAGGATAGTTTTGTGGGTCATTTGCAGCCTCACGTGTGCTGTGATATTGTCATCCTCTGATCCACATATGGTGTCTATAAAGAACTGTCTAGAGCAGCCGCATGGAGCTTGGCTGAACCTCAAGGGAAGACATAAGCAGAGCATGGACACTGTCCTCCAACCAAAGAAGGTTCCATAAATGCAGAACCAATACATGATATTCTGGTACCGGCTATCCCAAGGAATCATTATGTGCCGCACATGACTGCTTAACCTCATATCTATGTACTCAGCCTTTCACTTATTATGGGCTCTACCATTTAGAGATCCCCAGGAAACAGTCTGCAGAACCGAGACTGAATCCCAGCAAAAATTGATATCTCACTACTTCCTAAGCATGATAGACTTCACTGTAGTGTCATAACCTGAACCTTTATGTCAGACAGTAGGATGCTTGATGGACAAACATTTAAATCTACATGGCCATACAGTAGGAGTCCTGGTTGACAGATGTTTGAACCAAGTTTTATCATACAGTAGGATTTTGGAATGACATCACATAGTTGGGTACTCTGCCAGCAGACTTCAGTCATGGTTCAAATGAGTTTTCAATAACATTATTACCCATGCACAGGGGGTGGGATGATGAGTACCAGAGGATTTCTTAGCACTGCATCTCTGGAGCATGGGTGGTGGGTTTGTTAGGGGAGGGGGGGGGGTGGGGCATCAGTCTAGAGATTTCCTGCTAGATTGTTTTAAGCCAATATAGGCCCTTATCAAAAGTGCATGACGATGACATGTGGCAGGAGTCTTGCCCGAGGACCTGTAAAACCAGCAAAGAGTCCGCTGGTGCCAGGGTGAGTTATGGAGTCTCTCCTGCAAACATCACAATGGCCTGTGGCTGAAATCACTGAGCCACGAAGGTAGTTTAATTCTTCAGTCCCACAAAGTTATTACTTTAACCGTTTCTATTCAAGGTGACACAAATGCTTATGCCCATATGGGTTTCTGGCTCCATTATGGGGAAAACAAAAATAGACTCTCTGCCTCCCTAATAAGCATGTCGTAAAAGTCAACTAGCTAGGTGTTTCATTTGAAGTCGGAGTGCATCTGCCAGAGTGGCAAGGAACCAAAGGCCTGCATATAAATAAGCCAGATCTGTTAAATGCATGTGAATACCACACTCAGGTTCTGGAACAAGACTTAAGTACAGAAGTGGATGAACAACCAGAACTCTCTGTTAGAGCTTACAGCCGGTGAGCACGAAGAAGAAATGTCTAGTGCTCAAGCAGCTGATCAGAGACACCATGGAACAAATATATTAAACTAATAACTCAGATACAAAGGCTAAAAAATAATTAACATTGGCATTATGTCAAAGTAGGGGATATAAAGGCAGAAGAAGAAGAATTATGCTAAAACTGTTTTGAGAAAATCTCTTTTAAATACTGAGATCTCTTAAACCTGTGTCACTGCGTTCAAAAGTAATACTTCGTTTTTGCGTATTTGGAGTAGACATCTACACATGTACTTTTGGCATTTTGTAAAGTCGCAAATAACAGCCCTGAAAATACACCTAGGTAAAAATCAGCAAAACTGCACTAAGGTGACTTTGGAATAGTGTGAACGAATGTCTGTGATAGCAAATTTCAAGAATAGCATATTCTCTTTGTAATTACCAAAAAATGTAAGATGAGTTGTTTGATAATGAAAGAGTTAAGATTGTACTTACCTCAGGTATAGGACAATGAAAAATGCAGGTCATACAGTTTGAGCTGGTTCAGGTGCCAGGTGCTTTACAACTTTATAATTAGGAAACCAAAATCATAATATATATTACTGCAGACTTCTATCTATGCTGAAGTTTACAAATGTGTATAAATGTCATAAATACAAATCATAATTTAGTATGTTCCATTTGATGTATGCAGGTTGTGTTATTTATATATGTTCTTTTTTTCTGTAGGGAGGAGAAAAGAATTATAAAAAATCTTAAACAAACTGTTACAGTAAAAAATCAAGACAATGTATATCATCATCATCATCATCATGTGCCTTGCTGACTGGCGTGGGCGATCATGCCTCTCCACAATCTGCGATCTCCTGCAGCATGTATCAGTTTGAGTGCCAACACACCTCCATGTCATGCAACAAGACTGTCAAGAATCTTCTCTCGTTTTCTTCATCTATCCCTCTTTCCACAGATCTGTCCAGTGGTCACAACATATTCTATTTTCTCTCTTTTCATAACATGGCTGAAAAATGATGTTTGTCTCCTTCTGATCTCTGTGACAAGTTGTCTTCGGCTCCCGCCTCTTTAAAAACCTTTTGGCTGCTCTTTTTGGCTGTCCAAGATATTCTAAGCATTCTTTTGTAAAACATCTCTGAGGCCTCAAGAAATTGTTTGGCTTGTCTACCGATTGACAATGTATATATTACTGATATAAGCTTATTAACAACACAGATGTATCTTTATCTGTGTCCCTCGGGAAGTCTTGCTGCAATTATTAACAAAAGAAAAAATAATCCAACGTAGTTCCTAAGATTAATAAAAAAAAAAAGCTGCTTTATACAAAACAGCAGTCATATGTTTTTGTTTGAGAGTGTTTTCTGAATGATTATTTTTGCTGATATTTATGTTGATAACCATAGTTTAGAAAATGAAATAAATGTTTACTTCATTTTGTCAGTTTTATCCTTTTTTTTTTTTTACAGTTCTAATATTTCATAGCCTTTACATTTATTGTCTGTGTCTGTGGCTTAGGCATTGCGAACGCGCTTCGATCCCAGCTGGGACAGTTTGTCTTGCACTGGTTTTGACAGTGATACAGAAAGCAGACCGTTCAAAAAGCAATGGCAAACTACTGAATGTACAATTTGACTAGTAAAAACCATAACATGCTCGGGTTGGTTGTGCAACGTCCTGTAAAGGATTCTTTTTAAAAGAAAAAACATTTAAATTAACAATATACTTTTAACTAACAAATATCTTCAAGTACACAATAAAGAATATTTTATAATATATAACATTATCAATCATTGTGTACTATAAACAAATTTGTCTAACAAAATAAAAAAAAAAAACTACAGACAGACAGTAAAGCTGACTAGGATTAACTAAGTCTACTAGCTAAGTAAACTATTTGGGGGGGGGGGGGGCTTCGTTGTCTTGAGGTATGGTGTCCGCCTTGAGTGCTTGAGGTCCTGGTTTCAAGCCCCAGTGAGGGCTGGGGTTTTTCCACGTGGACTTCAAGTAATTTCTCCTAGTCTCTGGGTAGTGGGATCAGACGCCTGTGTGTATTGTTGCGCATGTAAAAAATCCCTTGGCAATTGAAATCAAAAAGAGTAGCCTAAGGGTGCTGCCCTGGCAAAGTTCAGAGTGAAAAAACTACCCAAATATTTCAGGATCCACGCCGGTGTAACGGATTTCGTTCACTGCGCTGAGCGGCTCTCCCCCGAACCTCTACCCCCGCAGTATTGCGGCCTGAAATATCTGTTCGGGGCGCAGACCAATTAAAAATACGGACTTATCGGAGTTCCCGCCGAGGAACAAATTGTGGCAAAACTAGGAGTACCTTACAATGTCACGAGACACAACATTGCAGACGATAGTAGCAGACGATAAAAGCGACCGGAGACAATGTAGAGCATTTTCTGCAGACGATGCTAGCAGACAATTAAAGCGACCATTCACAATTTCGAGACATTACAGACGATGAAAGCGATATGGCGGGTAGACCACGCAGATTAGCAATACTTCCGATTGAGGATTTAGCAGCGGTAGATGTCAGACTTGTCGGCATGCGCAAAACGTGATTTAACTCACTGCCGAGCGTATCCCTGGTGCCGCTATGCGCAGCGCGGATGGGGGGCTAAACTAGGTGCCTGGGACTCATGAGCAAAGTAATTGGAGGAAGTTGCTGGAGATGCGGTAAATGCCGCTCATGAGTCCCAGCCATCTAGTTTTGCCCCTATCCGCGCCGCGCGTAGCTGGGGATACGGTCGGCGGTGAGGCATAGTCACAGAAACAAGTCCGCAAGTAACATATCTCTGAAAGCCTGTTAGTGCATTTGTTTTGTTTTCCGAGCCGATCCTAGATTTGCCGCGATTTGTTCGTCGGCAGAAAGTTTGTCAATGGAAAGTGTCAACAGTCCCTATTATCGTCGTCTGCTACTATCATCTGCAGTGTTGCATCTCTTGGAATTGTCAGGTAATCAGACACAATAAGACACAGGTCCGCAAGTAACATATCGCTGAGACCCTGCTAGAGCATTTGTTTCGTTATACGGAGCAGGCATATTTTTAATTGCACTGCGCCCCGAACGGATATTTCAGGCCGCAATACTACATGGGTAGAAGTTCAGAGGAGAGCCCACTGAGCTACTCTAGACTCAGACTTAAGTTAGAAGTAGAACGGAGCACTTGTGAGTTGCTGTGTCATGATGTTGATCCGTTGTTCAAATCAAAGTAAACTAAACTGTTCAAGTGTTTAAATGCACTGCAATTGTTAAAGGTAAATATATTAAAATAAATATTACACTCAAAATGTTTTAACTACATTTTTGAAAGATTAAATAAAAAAGTTCGTATGTCTAATAGTTCCACAATATTAGTTATATATTTTACGGGCCGAAGAGTGAAACAAAAAGACAGGGAAGTTCGAGATAATATTGGCAATATTATTGCAGATTGGTCATTAAGATATAGACTATATTATAGTTAATCGATTTCAAGCACACACAGAAAAAGAAGTTATATATCTGCTAGTGTTTATTCTATATTTATATTTTCATTGTTTTAATAGCAACGGAGACTTTTTTCGCACAATGCATGCATTACATCCATTTTATTTTCTCATACACTACATAGTGTTTCGGGAGATGGTCCCGACTAGCTTCATGTTGTTGTCATAGACAACGGAAGCGGAAGTACAATCGCACAGCTGTTTTTCTACTGCTCGCCAGAGCCAGAAGGAGGAGCACATTGTTTTTTGTGATTCGACATGGCATCTTCTGAGGTTCAGCGATTTCTAGACGAATATTCTTCTTTGAAGTACGATAAAGACAAGCAGAAAGTGAGGAAATAATCTTATAGTATTATACATTGTTTCTAATATTTAAATCAAATTAGATACAGCCTTTAAATATTTATTAAATTACACATTTTTCAGTTACAGTTATGTAGGTACTTTAGTCAAATTTTCAAAATGCCCTCTACACCAATAAAACCAGCACAGTTACTTCAGTTAGCTTGCTGTAAACAATCCCTTTTCAACGGTACCTTATTTAGGCTTGTATGTCATTTCTGAACTGAGATATGTAGGTTTTTGTGGAGATGAGATGTAGAAAGCAGCTGCTAAAACTTGCCTCCCAGAAACAAGAGGTTTTCTCTGCGCAACCAAACTGCGCAACTTTCGTTTTGTTTTGTTTACATTGGACTGTCATTGGACAAGATGGAAGCCAATGAGACACAGCCACTGGCTGAGCCAGCGATTACCTGAAAAATGTCACTACATCTACCTAGCCACGGTTCAGAAAGAAATTTTATACACAAATGTAAACATGGACGGAGAATTCAATTAAAACTAGCATTACCAGGGCCAGTAACAGTTAAAGCCTAAAGCCAACCTTGAATACTTAGCGCTATTTTCAATCAAACTGATGTAACAGAATAACTAAAACAGAGGACGTCCGGCTGTCGTAGACATGCGCTGTTAACCGGGTTCCTTCCCGCTGTTTATTGGGTTCCTTCCCGCTGTTTTCAGCTATTTAGAGTGGGTGAAAATCACAAAAATCGCAAAATTTCATGAGAGATTAGGACCTATCCCGAAACCCCAGCAGACATTTCCGAAGCAAGTTTCGAACGGTTTTCGTGGTAACGGAAATTGCCAAAAGATCGCAAATTTCCAGACACCGTAGTCGCTAAGTTACGCATCATAATATAATTATTTATATGAGTTTACTGTTTGGCCGAGCGGTTGTAGGTACTTTAGTCAAATTTTCAAAATGCCCTCTGCACCAATAAAATCAGCACAGTTAGATAGCTGTAAACAATCTCTTTCCAACGGTACCTCATTCTCATTTAGGCTTGTATGTCATTTCTGAGCTGAGATATGTAGGTCTTTGTGGAGATGAGATGTAAAAAACAGCTGTTGAAAGTTGAAAACTTGCGTCCCAGAAACAAGAAGTTTTCTCTGCGCAACCAAACTGCCCACTTTCGTTTTGGCTTTGTTTACATTGAACAAGATGGCAGACAATGAGACACAGCCACATAAAGCGATTGCCTGAAAAATGTTACTGTAAATCTAAAAAGCTACTCATAAGAAAGAAATTTTATATACAAATGTAAAATTGGACGGAGAATTCAATTATAACTAGCATTACCAAGACGAGCAATGTTAAAGCCTAAAGCTAACCTTGAATACTTACCGCTATTTTTAATCAAACTGATGTAACAGAAAAACAGAGGACGTCCGGCTATCGTAGACATGCGCTGTTAATCGGGTTCGTTCCCGCCGTTTTCAGCTATTTATAGCTGGTGAAAATCACACCAATCGCAAAATTTCATGAGAGACTAGGACCCATCCTGAAACCAGCCGACATTTCCCAAACAAGTTTCGAACGGTTTCCATGGTAACGGAAATTGCCGAACACCGTAGTTGCTACGGTTACGATGTTGTGCGGGAAACCCAGGTTCGACCCCAAATAGCGAATATTTTTCTGTCAGGGGCATATTAGTCATTATAACAGTTCGTGGTGACAGCACTAGTAGCCAAATGATCTACGCTGAAAGTTAACCATAACAGAGCCTCATTACGTCCTACCCTACAAAGATTTAAAATTTGTAGCTCGGAAAATATCAGGAACAAAAAGTATGAGGAAAAGGGCGAAGTCTACTATTTACCGACAGTTAAATCCTTTATATGTGAAAATTGTGGCACAGAAGTTGCAAATACTGCCCGAATATCTGTTCTTTCTGTCTGTCCACCATTTCAACAAGGCGCGGCTTGTCCGCTATTCCCGTTCCGGGCGAGACATAATCAATAATGTGCATTGTAATGTACACGCACGTCGCCTCGGGACAACTTCAAACCAACAGTCGCCTCGGGACAACTTCAGTTCTCCTTTGAATTACAGCCGGTTAGTCTGAGTTCAGCCCCCTGGCTACAGTGCAATTACGGAGTGGAGAAGGCACGAATCACAAAACAAAATGCCGTCGACATGGCTGCTAGAGCTAGACCACACGCTGCCACTCACATTAGCGACCGCGTTCCTGCGACGCAAGACTTAGTGGCCGTAGGTGTGACACCTGCGTATCTGTATGCCTGAATGAGCGATAAATTTGCGTGGTTGCGGTGGCTAGCTGAGCATAGCCTACCCCTAACCCAAACCATACCCCTAAACCAAACCCTAGCCGTATGATGACAGCAGGGCACTGCACGCTGTCTATCGCCAACACACAGTAATTATGTCATTTGTTTTGTTCCCTCTTTTCCACTCCGTAATTGCACTGCAGCCAAGGGACTGAGCTCCGTCTAACCGGCCGTAGTTTAAAGGAGAGCCACAACTTCAAACCAGCAGCCGCCACTATGGCGCTCCACTATCCTGACCACCCCTTGACCGTGGCAAATGCAACTCGCTTGCAGTTGCGACGGAAGAAGTAGCTCATGACTGTTTTCCTGCGACTATAGTGCCACATACGAGAGTATCCCCCGCGCCGCTACGTGCGGCGCGGAAGGGGCTAAACTAGATGGCTAGGACTCATGATCAAAAACAATGGAGGAAGCTGCAGGAGAAGCGGGTGAGTCCCAGCCATTTAGTTTAGCCCCTTCCGCGCCGCGCGTAGCGGCGCAGGGGATACTCTCGGAGGTGGTACTATAGTTGGCGAAAGAAAGTCCACAACTTACAAATAACTGTGGCCCTGCCGTAAGATTGCGCTATCAGGGGTATTCTTGTGTGTCGCAAATTTTTCGTAGGTAGTTAATCCTAGTTTTGCCGCAGTTTAACCGCCGTAAAAAAGTCCGTTGCGTTTTGCAAAAATGTTGTGCGCAATTAATCCTACTTTTGACGCGGTAGATTCGCCGCAAAAGAATTTTAGATATGAGTGAGGCTCTGTTAGAGTTAACTTTCTGCGTAGATCATTTGGGACCATTATTCAATGGAGAGCCCACAATTCTGACTCACAGAGCATGCTGAGAAAGGTGGAGACGGGCATGCTCTGTGCAGAGTGGCAAGCATCACACAGAGGTCCCTGGTAGTTAGCATCCTTTGGATATTTTCTCCAGGTCATAACTGTGTGACTGTTAGGAAATGAGCAGGCAGATAGACTGGCCCGGTTCTGCACCACTTGGTTGTGAACTGATGTAGGACAAGCTGGTTATTGTGAGGGCCCTTTGGGAGTGAGTGAACAGAGCAGAGGAACAGGAAAGATCATTACGGTCTGAGGAGAATGACACTGCAAAGAATTACAAGCGGATCTGGCTGATGCTCGACACGAGGGGAAAGGCGAGACGAATATACAATCAGACAGTTACTGGTACCATCTGAAGGCTATCCTCCGAATAACAGTCCCAAATTATCGAGGCTGAAAATATACCCTAACAGGGCCTCAGTCACATGTCAATTGCTGACTTCCGGGGACTATACCGCCACCGCCGAGAGTATCTCCCATGCCGCTACGCGCGGCCTGGATTGAGGCTAAACTAGATGGCTGAGACTCACGGGCAAATAAAATAAAGGAAGCTGCAGGAGATGCGGTAGCTGCTGCTAGTGAGTCCCAGCCATCTAGTTTAGCTCTGATCCATGCCGCATGTAGCAGCATGGGAGATTCTCGTGGCGGAAGTGCGCAATTTAATTTGCAGGAAGTCCACAATTGACATGTGACTGAGGCCCTGTTAGGGTATATTTTCGGCCTTAATAATTTGGGACCGTTGTTCGGAGGATAGCCTATCTGAATTTTAAATCTTTGCTTGCTGCTAAAGATGGGGACGGAGCGCTTCTGGGGGTGTCCCGATTGCTGTAATGTTGTTTCCTAATTCAAAATTCTCAAGATCCCCCTCTAACTGTGCTAAAAGGTGGTGAAGGTAAATACAGACGGTTTTTGTGAGTGTACTGTTTAGTCCTTTGATATTAGAAATGTTTAGCTTTTTTTTTAACTTAATCATATGCACAGCTGTATTTAATTCACTATTTTGTTCCCAAACAATAGGCTGTGCAGTCTCATTTGTCACTTACCACCCCTCTTCTGACTTTGTTGCTTTGACCACATCTGCCTTGTCAAGTATCAGGTCACCACCCAATGGTGCAGATCCAGCCAATCTGTCTGCCTGTTCATTCCCCACTACGCTGGCAACTTGTGGTATAAACAGTTAAAGCAATAACTGGCTGTAGCAGCAGAAGTAAAGATTTGTCTTGGAATGTCACCCGGAGAGAAGATTAATCTAATCACTTTGGGTTGTGATGCAGTCTGTTAAATGCCAGTATGTGGCCATGTCTACAGTGATCTGTTCTCCAGAAGCATATTCAAATTCTGTTGGTCCTATGAAGGCAATAAGAGAGCAGATGCTCTGGCTGGCAGTGCAACTATCAGAAATGGGTCCTCTTTTGACAGAAGAGACATTAATGCCATACGAGACTAAGCTTTCAGTTTCATGGACATTGATTTTTTGCTCAATAGGCTGCATACCATGGGTGTACCAATTGGAGCCGGCAGACATAAAAACCATGCGCCAGCCACCCGTCGTTAAATCAGCCAGAACAGAATAGGAGTTGTTAGCCTGAAAACACTTGAACACATACTCTAGAGATCGGAGCACTTATGGTCATGTGCGATGAAAATGCTGTAGCATGGACTATGGTCCTATGTGCGCTGTGCAGTGTTTGATAGATCAGAATATGGATTTAGTAACTAAAAATAGCATTTAGGAAAGGCAAAGGTGACAGGATCAACTTCATTGCATCAGGTTTTATCCCATATGACTCAGTCTTTCTTTGCAGAACAGCTGCCTGCCAAAAGCGTTGCACAGAGCAGGACCTCCATAGCTCTGGTAACGATCCCCAGGGATCTCCTTAAAAATTGCACTTAACTGAACGGCGCCACCCATAAACTGACCCCATGACCTTCAGAGCGTGAGGAAAATGGCTTGGCCATGGAGACCCTTAGGTTTTCTTTTGCTCCCCCAGTAACTTTTTGAACGGCGAGCTGTCAAATGTTTCCATAAGCCTCTGTTATACTCACCCAGATACATTTTTAAGTTTTCATGTGTGTGATGGGTCATATTTTCCATTTAATGATTTTCTCTGTATTTATTGATTAGCCTTTCGTGTATTGTTTTCAAAGGTAAAAATGAAGATGGATAAAATTATTTAAAAAAAAATGATAAATGACAATGTTTTATGTTTAAAAAAAAATACATTCTTGCAGATTCATTGCCCCTTTTTTTCCCCTAAGCAGTCATAGATAACAGATACATTTGAAATAAAAAAACAAACAGGAATGTCTTTTGTCGCTTCTCTTATTTTTGCTGGCTATAGACTGGATTATGAAAACAGTAACTGCTAACACCAAGAATGGAATTCAGTGGACCCCTACAAAACAGCTTGATGATCTGGACTTCGCTGGTGATATTTCTCTTCTGTCCCATTCTCGGAATCAGATGCTAGATAAATTTAATATACTTGATGAGAGATCACAGCAGCTTGGTCTGAAAATCCATAAAGGAAAAACAAAGATAATGAGAATAAATCAGGCAAATAGTAATGTGCTTTCTCTTAATGGCACCCCACTCCAAGACGTGGAGTCGTACACCTATTTGGGCAGTAATGTAGATAAAGATGGAGGAACTGATAGAGATATTAAAATAAGAATACAAAAGGCAAGAGGATCTTTCATAGCACTAGGGAATTTATGGAGGTCAAAAGAAATTAAATGATATACTAAACTAAAAAATGTTAATTCTAATGTCAAATCAGAACTTTTTTGTGGGGCGGAAACATGGAGAACAACTAAGACAATTTCTAATAAATTACAGACATTCATTAACTGGTGCCTGCACAGAATAGAGGGAATTAAATAGTATAATAGAATAGCTAATGTAGAGCTTTGGGAGAGAACTAACCAGGCTCCAGTGGACCAAGAGGTGAGGAAAAAACACTGGCGTTGGATAGGAAACACACTGAGAAAAGGGCATAACTAGGATGTCTTTGCATTGGAACCCACAGGGGCATAGGAATAAAGAAAGGCCAAAAAACACACGGAGAAGAGAGCTGGAGAATGAAGTTAGAAAGATAGGGATGACATGGGGAGAGCTCCATGTAATGGCGAAGGATAGAGCGACTTGGCATGATTTGGTTGAGGGCCTAAGCTCCATTGGGGGATAGAAAGGCAGAAGTAATAGGGTAAAAGGGTTAAGTTCTATGAAATGTTATTTCTTTGCACATTCACAGGTCACATGTGGTCTCACCAAACATGAAATGCCAGCTACAGCAGCTGCTATTGAAAGCTACGTGAAAGGGAGGAAATTCAAAAATGCCTTTAAAAAAGACAGTTACAACTATGACCAACACAAACCACACATTGTCGCCAGCAACAAGAAGCGACATTTGTAAGTATGCATTGATAGTTACAAATTAAGTTTTTATCTGTTAAGTAGTGTTAATTCTTTGTGGCCTAGAGGTCAGTAAATGTGTTTAAAACTTTCACGGCCGAGTACCAGGGTTTGAATTTTTTGGGAATATTTTGCAGTGAGTAACTTCCAGTCACCATACAAACATGCTGAACAGTGCACACGATCAATTTCCAGTTGGGAATATTATGCAGTAATTAACTTGCAGTTACCATACAAACATGCTGAACAATGCACACGATCAATTTCCAGTTGGGAATATTATGCAGTAATTAACTTGCAGTTACCATACAAACATGCTGAACAATGCACACGATCAATTTCCAGTTGGGAATATTATGCAGTAATTAACTTGCAGTTACCATACAAACATGCTGAACAATGCACACGATCAATTTCCAGTTGGGAATATTATGCAGTAATTAACTTGCAGTTACCATACAAACATGCTGAACAATGCACACGATCAATTTCCAGTTGGGAATATTATGCAGTAATTAACTTGCAGTTACCATACAAACATGCTGAACAATGCACACGATCAATTTCCAGTTGGGAATATTATGCAGTAATTAACTTGCAGTTACCATACAAACATGCTGAACAATGCACACGATCAATTTCCAGTTGGGAATATTATGCAGTAATTAACTTCCAGTTACCAAACAAACATGCTGACTGAAGCACACGATTAACTTTCAGTTACCATACAAACATGCTGACTGATGCACACAATTAACTTCCAGTTACCATACAAACCTGCTGACTGATGCACACGATTAAATTCAAGTTACCATGCAAACATGCTGACTGATGCGCATGATTAACTTCAAGTTATTATGCAGTGAGTATCTTCCATTCACCATACAACTTTCATGGTCCAAGGGATTCCATTTTCAAAATAGACTGTGTCATCTCCATATGAAGGTTGGCTTGCAGCTCCCCCTGCATAAGTTCTCGTCCACGGTGTGACTCTTATGCAGCTGTCCATATGCAACAAGAAGGTATTTTTCAGTAAACTGTCTGCAACAGAAATCACACTCTTTAGTGATTGTGAGAAATTGTGAAACAATTTCAATACCCTGAGTACAGAGCTGCTACAAAACAGAAAGAATTAACTCTTTCAGTACCAAATAACTCACCATGTGTGACTGGAAGTTGCTCACATGCATCCGTCAACATGTTTGTATGTCTCACCGAAGGCTCTGTGTATTTGGCATCTCTGGGTGTAGTATACCTTTAGGTTTGATGTCATCATTGCCTGAGACTGATTTCAGCTGTGATATCTAGGGGTATAACAAGAATCGTTAATGTAGAGCTGTGGGGGAGAACTATAGACTTCCAGTTAATCAAGAGTTGGGGGAAAGATGCTGCGGCTAGATAAAAAAACAACCTGTTAACAGGGTAATTTAACATTTACGTCTTTCTAGGACTGTGCGTGTCTAGCATTGATAGCACAAATTTGGTACACTTTAACCCTTTACAGATGACTCGGCCGATCTATCGGCCTAACAGCAAATAGCCACAAAGACGGTTGTGCTGATCTGTCAGTCCAACAGCACAAGCCTTGAGATTGGCTGGCAGATTATCGTACCAGCCAGTCAGATTGCTTCTTTTATTTCTTGCCACACGTGAGCTGTTCAATGATGGCTTTCATAAAAATTTGCTGTGTTATCTAATTTTACAATGTTTTTTGGGGGGTTGGGGGTAGTATTACTTGTGCCCAACGATAGCTAAAAGGACTGTTGCGTCATAGCAACCAAAACATAGCAGAAGGCAAGAAAAGGGAGTAAAAACCATTGTTAAATATGGACCTACATGGGCCTTGCTACCCAAAACACAAGATTTAGGGCTTAATCAGGCTTCGTTCATCAGAAGATTTAGCCAGTTTGTTCAATTTATTCGTGTTTGTCCTAAGTAATGAAACACAAATTTGCATGCTTAAATATGCAAATTCAAAAGCTAATTTTAATTTTTCTTGGCACTGGAACTCCATATAAGGCCCCATCTCCAAAGTGTTAATGACTTATTTTCGTGTAAATTGTGTATGTGTTGTTGTTGCAGGCATGAACTGTTCTGTTCCCTTACACTGAGGCACATAGCCAGGACACCAGAAGCTGTAGAAAGGCACGTCAAAGGGAAAAGATTCCGCAGAGCTCTAGCAAGATGTGAGTTGTCATTTTTATTTTCCCTGTGTGGGTTACGGGGTCCCATTGTGTTGGAAAAAGGATAGACCTGCTCCCCAACATGCATGTCATAAAAGTCAACTGTTTTAAGTCGGAGTGCATCTGCTGAAAGGCGAGGAACCAACAGTGCGCTTAAAAATTAGCTGGATCTGTAAACCAGATGTGCACACAAATCTAAAGTCCTAAATTCGATGAAGAACCAGAGCTTTCTGCTGGAGTTTGCAGCAGGTGAACGCCAAGAAATTTTTTTAAAATTTAAGCTCATGTTCTTTAGACAAATACCTTGTTGTGATGCATGGGCGTATCAAGGATTGTGATCATGACATTTCTGCAGCATCGGGAGTTCCAATGATGATGGTGACATAGTAACCTGATTGAAAGCCTGTCTGTATTTTCCTCTTTATGTTGAGAACCATCCAGTCTTTTCGGGGTCTCCGTGGCGAACTGGTCAAGCCATTTGCCTCAAGCTCTGAAGGTCGTGGGGTTCATTTCATGGCTGCGCTGTTCCTTTCACGAGTGCAGTTTACAGATATCTATAGGGATCATCACCAGAGCTACGGAGTGTGTGCTCTAGTGTCGCTTTCTGTGCGTGTGATGGCTTTGCATTGTAAACTGCACTGAAAAATAACTGGTAGCTGACTACTTTCAGAAGGATGTGTACTCATGCAGTTTTAATATGTGCAAAGCTGGCTTTCGTAATCACCTACTTTGCTTGCATCAGCAGTGAGCAGCAATTCTGGTGTGAGACTGTTGGTGTTGAAAGATCTGACAGCTGCCTTGTGTATTTAGTTTGCACGTGCGAGCTTCAAGTTTAGTCTGTGACTGATATGTTTTTAAAAAGGGATATTTTGTTTGATTTTCACTGGCGCAGGAACAAAACATTTATGCGCCAACCCCTCTGCAGTGAAGTTGGAACCTCGACTAACATACATATCATGTGAATTATACTTATTATACCCTTTTCCATGTCTTTCATAGGGTACATAGGGCTAGGCCTATATTTTATAGACCAAACAGCCGTCTTTACTTCTCAGGAGTGTACCTGCTACCCACTGAAGGCTGTGTTTATTTGGGAGCCAAGGCCATTTTTGGAGAAAAAAATTGGCCCTTATCAGGAACTGAACCCACAACCTTCCGATTCGCAGTCGGGCATCTAGCTGCTAGACCACGGCGGCTCTCAACATATTATTGTGGGTTTTTAAAATTAATTAATTACTCACTCTATGTTTGATCTCTTCCTGGACAGGGCAGAGCTGCCAAGAAACAGGAGAAAGATTTATGCCGCGGGGTGGTCAGCGTAATTCTAACAAGGCCACGGTGTCAGACAACGACAGCATTGATGGGGGTGATGATTTCTGGATGAATGACAGTGATGATGAAGTACCGAATGATGACATGAGTGATCTTTATCCAGGTCTGCTTTGTTTTCTGTTCTATTACCCTTATTGTGTCAGTTGGGGCATCGGGCATATTTTGATAAAGTGATCAACACTAAGATCAAAATATATAAAACGATAAGACCAGTCATTTTATATAGCACTAAAACTTGGAGCACAACTAAAAAACATGAAGCGTTATTACAGATTTTTAAAAACATTTTTACGATGAATCTTTGGGCCCATCTAAGATGCAGACAGCAGGGAATGGAGAGTTAGAAGCAGTAACGAAATTCATAATTTGTTTAAATCACCATGGTTGGGGCATATTGAAAGAATGTCACCCCCGTGTGGGTTCCGGGGCCCCATTATGGGGAAAACAAGAATAGACTCACTGCCTCCCCAAAAGCATGTCGTAAGAGTCGACTAATTGGGGAGCTTCCTTTGAATTCGGGAGTGCATCTGCCGGAGAGGCAAGGAACCAACAGTCTGTATTCAATAGAATGAGATCTGTAAAACTGATGCACACGCAACACTCAGGTTCTGGAGCAGGACTGCAGTTCACTAGTTGACGAGCAACCAGAACTTTCCGCCAGAGTGTACAGCTGGTGAAGGCGAAGAAGAAGAAAGAATGTCAGATGACAGAGAAGTAAAAACTTTATACACAAGTGAGATGAATGGTTGTAGACCATGAAGCAGACCAAGAAGACCATGGAGAGATAATATCCAGGCAGACCTGCAAACACTTGGTGTCACCAACTGAAAAGATAATGCCAAGCAGAGAGATGAATGGAGGTGAGTGATATCTGCAGCAATGAACCTCAAGGGCTTGGAATGCTAAAGAAGAAGATCATCGCTCAGCTGATGCAATCAGTATCGTGGTGGCCAGCTTGTATTTTCCACGGCATTGCCAGGCACCCATTTTATGCCAGCTCCCCCAACCTTTAAATGATTATTTGCTACAGAAACTTGTAAGAGTAGTGTGTGGTGTGCAGACTGCCTGTACAAAGATTAAACCTACGAGCTAGAGTCCGTTAATTTTTTTTTCAGACCGTTTTTTGCAAGCTTGCAATTTTTCTTCCTGGTTAATAATCCTTTGCCTCTTCCTAAAATGTTGTATTCCATGAACGTACCAGAAGAATGAGCGAACTTAATTTTCAAAGTTCAAAATTAGGCTTGCATGTCTTTCTAATATTCTGGCCTTTTCACCTTTTTTCTTTCGTAATTTATTTAATTGAAAATCTCTTTATCATTTACTGTTGAACAGTAACGATTGTACACACACAATACACATTAAAATTGCACAGAAGTCTGCATATCCAATACAGTATATTGCTGAGTCACAAAGGGATGCAGGAGTGCATCACTACCTGCAGTAGTGCACCAGGATGAGAACTCATACTGGTCAAGACCTGTGTATATCTCCACTTGGTCCTAGGAACAGGCTCCTTACTGTGAGCCTGGCCAAAGTTTCTTTCGAAGTCTGGCCGCAGTCTGCACATATTAAGCCAGCTCTGGAAAATGTATGTGCATGCAACAATCACCATGGAACAAGATCAAAGCCCAGACACCCACAGCCAACCAGGACTTACCATATGAGCTCACTGCTGGTGAGTGCAGAAGACAAAATTATGTCATCGTCATCATTATGTAGCAGGTTCTTTGCAGGTACCATACCTTCTGCTATAATTGTTTCCAACCCAACGTGGCCCTTGATATGACCATAATATTTCAGCTTCTGAGACAGGATGCTGTTTATTCGCCGATCTTCCTTGATGTTCAGGTCTTTCAAGATGTCAGTATTTCTCCTCTTCTTTGTCCAAGATATTCTGAGAGTCTTTCTATAGCATTTCAGCTCAAAAGCCCCTATTCTTTTTCTAAAGGACTGAGAAATCATGTAAGGCTTAGAAATTTAATTGCAGCACATTTGATGTTTATGTTTTTTTCTCCCCCTCCTTTGACTACAGATCTGAATGTTCCTGGCAGTGAACCAGAAGGTGATGTTGATGATGACAGAGGAAAATCTGTCCCTACAAAGAAATTAAAACCTGTCAAAGCAAAACAGGTAAATGTTGAGGATTCAGATTCTGACTACGACATGGCTGTTTTAGATGAGGTCACCATAGAAGTCAGTACACCACAATTAGTGGTGCCTTCACAAAATAAGAGGAAGAAGAAGAAGAAAAAGCAGAAGGAAACATTACCTGCTGGTAGCAGTGATGCGAAAAAGAAAAAGCTCAGTTAATAAAAACATTGTCTTTCATATGTTGTTTTTTGTTTTTTTTCATTTGTTATTGTGTGTTTTTCATTTTTTCTTGCGGGTTTTGTTTTACTTATCTATTAGGGTGCTGGGGAGGAGTATCAGTATGAATGCAGACACAGTGAAGATAGCAGTTTGCAGGCGTATACCATTTTGTAGTCTTGTTGATAAAACATGTGAATGGGATAAAAGTGTGCATTATGCTGTTAGTAAACTTGGAGCATACTTTTGCCATATACATCTCACTGACACATTCAGAAATTGAGCACCAACGTAAGCTGCAGAGCATTTCTTATGAGACTGATTTTGCCAGTTAGAGAGAGAGAGAGGAAGTTTGGTCCAACTATACAAACTATAGGACGCCAAGAAATAGCATATGCACACAGACTCATGCGATTAAACACTGCAAGTGGCTGAGTGGTCTGAAGGCTTGGCATCTGCCTCAGGGTTGGAGGTCTTGGGTTCATGCCCCGGTGAAGGCTAGAATTTTTTAGCATCTACTTCTAGTAATTTCCCCTGGTCTCTGGGTAATAATCATCGTCATCAGGTGCCTTGCTGAATGGCATGGGCGATTATGCCTCTCCACAATCTGCTATCTCCTGCAGCATATATCAGTTCGTGTGCTGACACACCTCCATGCCATGCAACAAGACTGTTAAAAATCGTCCTCTATCCCTCCTTCCACAGATCTTTCCATTGGTTACATGTTCTCTTTTCCCTCTCCTCATAACATGGCCGAAAAATGATGACTGTCTCCTTCTGATGTCTGTGATAAGTTGTCTTCGAGCTCCCGCCTCTTTCAAAACCTCTTGGTTGTTTGTTTTTTTTGGCTGGGTAGTAAGCCTGTGTGTATTCTTGCGCATGTAAAAAAAAAAAAAAACTTGGAATTTGAAGAAGAGAATCCTAAAGCCGCTGACAAGTAAAATTCTGCCCACAGTATTTCAATATCCTAGCCGGTGCAATGGAGTTCGTGCACTGCGTTAAGATGCTTTAGACTCAGACTTGAGTTAGAGGTAGAACAGAGCACTTATGGGTTACGCCTGTGTGCCATGATGTTGATTCGTCGGATAAACATAAGTTACTGATTTAAAGACAGTGCTCCCATTTTGATTTAACACTGGGCATGTTGTACTGAACCTATAATTTATAGACCAATGTGTGCCTGTTGCATGATGTGCTTAATATCATACTGACTGTCTTTACTTCCCAGGACAATTCCTCATATATATTTTAAGCTGGGTCAGCCTGAGAGGCCTTACTTGTTGTCCGTATCAACATCCCAGCACATCGGTCCGATCACTTCCTGCTCCGTCCTCCTATTCAGCTGCAATCTCATTGTCTCCAAGCTCACTTCACCCAGTAGGGGTTGATTAGCATATCTTCATTCCTTGCCATGCAGCCAGTTTCTGTATGTTTGTTCTTATTTAAAACCAATTTCCAGCATGCAATTTATTGTCTCTTACTACTTTTTCTCTGTGTCAAAACTAGAGTTTTACATGTGTATTTTACAAATATGGCTTATTTATAGGCAGACTAGGTTTCTCGCCTCTCATGCACATGCATTCTGACTTCAAAGGAAACGCCCCATAATTAGTCGCCTTTTACACAATACGTATTAGCTGGCAGTCAGTCGTATTTTTTTCTCCCTCCATAACTGGATCCCACACTCGGAGAAGACAATCACAAACATCTAAAAGCGACAGTCATTATGTTTTGGTTATATTACAAGTTAATTGCATATAGTTTAAAGGACGTTGCAGAACCAACCCCAGCATTTTTTTTTTGCTGTTGTGATTTTTTCAAACAATGTTTACGTTCAGCAGTTTGCTTTAGTCATATTTTGGACAATATTCTTGATAGCCTTTTGTCATAGATGGAGGGGTGTCAACACACGAATTGAAATATACTTTTGAAGATCGCAGATTGTGGAGAGGCATGATCGCCCATGCTAGTCGACAGGACACTTTATGATAAAGACGAATGACTGCGCCTAGTTTTACTGTGGTATGCTTTTCAGTTCTGCTGTGTGTGATGATTGATTTATAGCAGTGGTTTTCAACCTCTGAGTTGCGACTTTTTTTACAGGGTCCACCTAAGACCATTGCCATGCAGCCAGTTTCTGTATGTTTGTTCTTATTTAATACCAATTTCCAGCATGCAATTTATTGTCTCTTACTACTTTTTCTCTGTGTCAAAACTAGAGTTTTACATGTGTATTTTACAAATATGGCTTATTTATAGGCAGACTAGGTTTCTCGCCTCTCATGCACATGCATTCTGACTTCAAAGGAAACGCCCCATAATTAGTCGCCTTTTACACAATACGTATTAGCTGGCAGTCAGTCGTATTTTTTTCTCCCTCCATAACTGGATCCCACACTCGGAGAAGACAATCACAAACATCTAAAAGCGACAGTCATTATGTTTTGGTTATATTACAAGTTAATTGCATATAGTTTAAAGGACGTTGCAGAACCAACCCCAGCATTTTTTTTTTTGCTGTTGTGATTTTTTCAAACAATGTTTACGTTCAGCAGTTTGCTTTAGTCATATTTTGGACAATATTCTTGATAGCCTTTTGTCATAGATGGAGGGGTGTCAACACACGAATTGAAATATACTTTTGAAGATCGCAGATTGTGGAGAGGCATGATCGCCCATGCTAGTCGACAGGACACTTTATGATAAAGACGAATGACTGCGCCTAGTTTTACTGTGGTATGCTTTTCAGTTCTGCTGTGTGTGATGATTGATTTATAGCAGTGGTTTTCAACCTCTGAGTTGCGACTTTTTTTACAGGGTCCACCTAAGACCATTGAAAAACATATTCACTGAAGTTATGAAGTAACAACGAAAATAATGTTATGGCTGGGGATCACCACAACAAGAGGAACTGTATAAAAAGTTGGCAGCATTAAGAAGGTTGAGAACCACTGTAGGTCTGTTCCCAACTAGTCTGCTGCCTGGCAGTTTGATCACCCCCGAGAATTTAAACATTCAACCTGGATGTTGAATTAAGAATCAACATTATAGCACTGGGACACCACCATACGCACTCTGTCCACATCTTCTACAGCAAACGAAGAAAGAGTTCATTTCTGATGACACCAATAACGTTCTGCTTGTATATCCAACCTGGATGACAAATCCCTGATATTCTGTTAAAATTTCAAAGAGGTTATTATTAGGGTCGCCAGGCTGGACTAGTGTAAGGAATTTCTGTGAATTGTGACTAAAAAGCTTAACGAAATATGGAAGCAGAAAAACATGCACAAATAACGTTTCGGCCGGCAGCATTTGTCAGACATGAACTACGCCTATTGTAGCATGCAATCCTGTGTAATTCTTCTTCTTCACTTCCTCTCTCAACACTTCAGGTCTTGAGGGAGAAACAAGGTTCTGCTTCTGGCCGCCTTGACCATAGATACGTCGAGCTGTTGTATGTAGAGTTTCTCTGATGTTTTCTTTTCATCTTGTTCTTGGTCTACCTTGTGCTCTATCTAGGTCCTTCTATCTTTTGGTGTATACCTTGTGTGGTATTATGTCGCAAGGCTGTGGCTGCTGTTCAGATTTAGCCGACGCAGTATACATGTAGAGGTAACGTAAACCTCTTGGTTATTTCCCCTGTCCTAGGACAGTATATTTCTGTGCATAGATGTTATCCAGTGCCATGTTTCGGTATATTACGTGTTGAGTTCCCAATCTCTTCCACTTTCCGAAAGCCACAAGACAATCTTTAACTGTAACAGCCACCCCTGTGGATATCAAACCTTGGTTTGTCGCGAAGTATGAACCTGGTCATCTATCTTCTAATTCACATGGGGCATTCGTTCATTAAAAAGGTAACATTCTGAAGACTTATTTATGAACGGATGTGATTGAAGACACAAGCTTAGATGATAACGTGTAAGAATGCGTGTACAAGGAATTATGTGAGGATCAGACAATGATGGACATAAGAGGGGAAGATAGCGACGGGTTTATAGTTTGTGTTGCAGGAAGAGCCTAAGACATTTGTTATGGGAGATAGAGCACCTATGGGTATGCCTGATATGTTGATTCAGTAAACCACATAAGCTCGAATGGGAAATTCAGATATTCTTTGGAACATTTATGGTCTGGAGTATTTTTAACATAGTTACTTCATTCACAAATGTTTAGAACATCTATACTGTATTTGTCGAGCATAATGATTCATATATTCTCTGGTACACTGATGGTCTAGATTGTGTCTAACACAGTTACTTCATTCATGGAATTCCAGAGAAATTTGACTAAAAAGCTCAACAAAATGGGGAAGCAGAAAAACGTTCACAAAACAACGTAACGTTTCGGCCGACCGAAATCCCATATTCTTACTTCATTCATAACCGTTTGGAACATCAACGTTTGCCCAGAGTGGATGATTCAGATATTCTCCGGTACACTGATGGTCTGAGTATGTTTACTATAGTTGCTTCCTTCTCAAGCGTTTGGAACATCAGTGTTTGCCTAACATGGGGGAAATTAATTAGTTGGGTTATCCTTATTGCACTCCGTACATGTCCATAGGTGCTCAGATCCTCCCCTCGGTATGAACCCCAACGTCCGATGGCTGATAGAATTAGTTCTACGTTGATTAACAAGTCTTCTGGTGTGCGTATATTTTTTTGCTATGCCGATCTTAATTCCCAAGTCTGGCATTCTGGCGAGTGATGTGGATTCACTGCTCCCAAAGTGCTCTATCCTTGCCATTTCTCTGAGGGCATTGAAAATGTTCAGGGTATGTCTCCTATCAATTAATCACCGTCTGCACAAGGAAGGTTAACTGTAATGGATCTTCGGTGCCACCTGTGTTTTGTTGTGGTAGTATAATTTGATACACTGATCTTCTTCTTTTGTCGTCTGATACCAGGTTGTAGCCCAGTGTCGCGGTTTTGTCGTCTCACTGATACCAGGTTGTAGCCCAGTGTCGTGGTTTTGTCGTCTCACTGATACCATGTTGT